ATAAAGGAATGAACTACTTTGAGCTCTAAACATAGGTATGACTGTCGGGAATGGGACAGAGATGACCGCTACGATGAAAGGGGTAGCGAAACGTGCAGGTTCTCTCTGGCAGCGTCTTCTATTGTCCGCCGACGATGCGTGGAGGAGGTTTGTTCTAAGTACAACCAGATAGCATCACAGGCAGTACCGGTACGCGAATTCACTCGTCAAGGACCTGCGAACAACGGGACCAGTTCATCGAGTGCAGAGGAAGCCTCTGGAAGCAGCGATGCTCGTACTCGTAGCGCCGTTTCCTCTGGAGGTCTCTCGGGGAGCACCGCGTTGGCGCCGTTGGATCGCACGACATCTCTGCACGGACTTTTTAAAGCGAGTGAAATCACCGAGCGGAGTGATTGTGGACCTGAAATAAAAGCGACAGTAGAAGATGAGGACCCTTCGCGATCGTCTGATTCCCCAACTAGGAACGGAAATTCATCAACGGCGGACGGGAGCCGGAGCTATGTTGGGATGTTTTCCCGCGACTGCGGGATGCCCTCCCTCCATCGGGTTATGCAGCTCCCGCGGCATCAGTGCGGAAATGATGAAGAGTTACGGACAAGAACAGCACGTAAGAGCTGCAAGCATCTAAATGTAAGTACATCGTTCTTGTAAGCATTGTAACTTATGTATTTTATTAGTTAGTAGATCATGTTCATGTTGCACTTCACAGACGTTCATGTTCACCACATGTAAGAGATTTTCAGCCACCTTCGCTTTTTTGTAATGAAAGTTCCTGACCCTCTCTCGTCTTTGTGTTTTTTCAATTTTTTCCTCTGAGTGATACCCGCTGACGTGTTTTCTCGGATCCACCCCATTCCTCTTGGTACTCTGACAGTAGTATGATGGATGAATTCAGCTTCAGGTAACCTACTGATGCGTGGATGTAAGTTTAGGCTGCTCGTATTCTCTGCACTGTTCTTTCTGCTTCAAAGCCTAATTGTAATGAAAAAAATGCAAGAGTTCTACAACAATAACATCATCTTCTGGACAAGACAGTATTAGTACAGAGGTAGAGTATGAAGTTGCATCTTCATCACCTGCGCTGTGCCAGAAGCTATGCGAAGAAGACAGGATACCCGAGGCTTTCGATGGTTCAGAGGACGAATTTGCACAGTCCGAGCACATGCTTATTAAGATAGAATCTGTGCAACCCGCAGCCGCATGTCGCGCAAAGGAAGAGCCACTAGTGCGAACGCGGGCGTGTACTATTGTGCGATCCACCACCGAGAGGCGCGATGCCCTTTGTGACGTGAATGCTTCAAAATTTCGGGACGAGGTGGGATGCGAATCTCCTCTAGGAGGATTACAGCCGGTCGTATGTACTCGTGAAGACGTTGCTGCATGGTCAACACCAGAGCCAGGAGCTACCGAAAAGACTCCGCGTTGGCGAGGTATCCCTGTCGTGGTAGGGGGACCCGGAAAAACACCTTCCAAATCTGGGGATCACGCGGTATCGCTGTCGGGCATTCTTATCAATCGCGGGGCTATTACTAATTTCACTTCGAGGGAGTGCGCTGTTACTGTTCCTGAATTATGTTTGACTTTCTTGAGTACCTTAAAGATGATAAATAGATATTTTCAATCTACCTGTATTTTTACGGGCATGGTGTCGCTAGTCCTCGTCTTCTATCGCCTCCTTCTGTCAGTCGTATTTTGCATGCGCTAACAAGAGCATGCATACCAGCATACGACGGAGGGTCCGACACAGCATCAGTACTACAACGACAGGTTAGTCCATCGGAAGATGGTGTCGTGCGGGACAGGACTGCTCATGCTGCTGCGGGTTTGTCGCCCGTTGAGCCGCTATGCCCCTCCTCGCCACCGCAGAAATCACCGAGATACCTTACGGGTGTGGGAGTTATCAGAGATGCTTTTCCTCTTGTATTGTCAAAATATGAAGAAAAACGCATCGAGATAACTCCTGGGATGCGTTTCTTACCCCTCTAAGCACTAACACAATTCTGATCAAGAGCAGGAAACTTTTGACGGGACTCAGGCGGAGTGGGATACCTTCGGTGTAACGCAATATGTTTGCAGCGACGCTGAGGCCTCTGGTTTCAGCAGCTCAGTTATGTTGAAATCTCAATTTTTTGTTTTCAAAATCATCATTCGTCACGACCTTCACCAAGCCTCATATTGCTTATCTCGTTAAAAACAAGCTGTCTCGTCTGGTTGAGACGAGTCGCCGTGAGAAGGTGAAGTAGTACTACGTGGAAACTGCATCAATGTGCCGCGCTCTAACTCAGTGTCCAACCCCAATATGACCATCCGTCGGCTCCGCGCGGCAGAACAGGCAGAAGCACTCGCGGCGTACCATCAACAATGCGCCCTAGGTCCGGCGGCCAATGGTCCTAATTCCACACAGCAACGGCAGAAAATTGGTCCTGCTGCGACCATACCGCCTTCACGCGTACAATCCTCTGTCGGTGCCTCATCGTGTTCATCTATGATGCTGGAGCGTGAAGTAGGAGCTGATGCCGAAGAACCAGCGGACGAGGAGGGTCGAACATGGCACGCGCTCGGAGATGTGAAGAATGATGATCTCTGCAAGACTGGCGTTATTGGTTGTGGCAGAGCTTCTCATCATGGCCCTTCGCAATGGGCAGCTTGCCACGCACCATTTCCGCATCACAATTTTAGGAATCGCACTGGTGCGTCCGCGGCGTCAGATCCAAGTTGTAGAGAACCTAAATTTTGCATCCAGGAACTAGAAGACGGCGCTGCCTGTGAGCTGCTTGAGCTGGACGGTGGGAGTGCTCGACCCCGCCGTCAAGCCCTGACGGGTGCGAGAGCAAAGTGGGCGGCGGGGGCGTCATGCGAGGAATCGGGGGCGGGGCGCCTGAGTGACGTAAGCAGATCGCTGGAAAGGAACGGGACCCGCTCTCCCTCATCGGCTTCGTTGAGTATATACAGCGAGTGCACAGTGGAGCGCCGTGCCACCGAATCCGATGCCATCGCATCGACTGCTCAGATGTCGTCGCAGGAATCAGGACGCAGTAACGCATCGCCCCCGCGGTCCCCGGAGCGTCACAACTCCTCCACCGTGGATGGTGCGGCGTCTTCTTCTCAAAGAACACGCACAACTCCACGAGGACAAGCTGCAACCCGTAGCCCAACTCTGTCTTCGTCTACCACAGAACATCGTCCCGCGCGTGGTGCTCGATTTGTTGCTCCCGTTAACGCAAGTGGTCAACCCACTCGCGCTGACCCGAACTCGTGCGCAAATATACTTCCTGCAACATCATCAGATGAAGATCATGGTCCTCATGATCTGCAAATGTCTCTTCTTCAAGGTAGTTCATGGAAGAACCCTAGAATAACAGCTGCTTCTAGTTGTGGTCTGGAGGTGCGCAATTTGGCGGCCATGGGCATGGCCGATGCTGTATCAAAGAAGTCTAAGTTATTACCTGAATCATTAACGACTACTACGTCATATTGCGGCTCTGCCACAACTCAAACAAATCGAAACGGTACGTCGAGATGCTACAAAACTTTCGAACAACACCAAGGGTTGATCCAAGTTGGCCTTAGTGCATTCAGGATTCCCTATCCGACTCACGCCGAAGTGACTCCTGAAGGAGTGAAGTCTCCGCTGGACATCTGTTCCCAGTGGAGTCCTCGACGGACTGCTATTGCATTTTCTCGACTGAGAACTGGAAGGGATTCCATGACAGTGCATGGCCTTCCATGCAGTTGCTTCCTATATCGGGACTCCGCGTCTGGACTACCTATCCACCGAACGTGCGATAGCTGCATCGTGAACTACAACAACCTGCTGAAGTCGCAATCAGGCTTTAAAAGTGAGGACGAAACAAAGTCGGGACTTTCCTTGACGGATCGGTTGCAGCAGGATAGCGATAAAGAACCAGTGAAAACTACCCAAACTTCTCAGTATGAACTGGGATTAAGCGAGAAGTTTCAGCAGCTGAAATTGGCAACTACGCGTCCTCCTCAACGCTTACAGGAGCATGAACCTTTCGAGGAAGGGAGGATGGGTAATCATCTTGATGATGTCCAACCTCCAGTTCCGTTAGCACAAGAAGACGGCGCAGAAATCCATGATCCACCTCTCACACATTTGAGCGGAGGAGCGGAAGCGCAAGCGCATCATAAACTGTTACCAGTTCTTTCAGTCAAGAGGAGCGACGGTCACGAAGGTCGCAACGCCGGCTCATCAAAGAAAGGAGTGAAGGAGCGTGCGATGAAGATGCCATGGTCGGACGAGGGTTTTGGACCCCACACTGCTGATGATCGTGCCCAGACGTTGGGTTCAGATTTGGTATATTCTTCAAGAGCGACAGCGACTTCTAGTACTAGGAGGCACCAAACTGAGGCAGCGTCATCAACGCAGGCAGCGTCATCAACGCCTCCAACTTTTATTGATATGAAAACCGAATGCGAATCGCTCGAAGCAAGCGAAAGTGAGAGCAGCACAACAACGTTTCGTGGCCCTTTTGCCTATACAGGTAAAGGAGATGGGCTTCTGAATCCATACCTAGAGGACCTCCGTGTCGAGTCCCCTTCCCCTGCATCCGGATCTTCTTGCTTCGCTGGTAATGAACACCAGTTGTCCCAGTTACCACGAGCGATTCCGGTTCCTACTTTTGGCAGGAAGACGACGCAAGCGATGGGGGCCTCCCTAGATGAACTACGAGTATCTACTGAGGATGCTCAACCGGAACTTGTGGCTGTGATAGAAAATAAGGCGGATCGGACCAGCTTCGGCGATGCCGATGCATGTATTAGTAGAGATGCACGTCGCAGTTCTGGATCTGGAAATTGCGCTTCTCCTGTTGACGAACAAACGAATGCAGTTGTAAAGAACGCCACCTCGTCCACGACCACGATGTCGATAAACATTGAAGGACGACCAAAGACAAACATTGAAGAAAGAGCTGCTGCATCTACCGCTGCAGGAGGACGACGCGAGAAAAATATCCCAGCGGAAAACATCCCAGCGGCCCCTGGCAGAATAATTATGCTTGAGTCTCTACCTCAGTCTCTAGCTTTACAACCGCCGCCGACAACAACTTCCCCGATGGTGGACGAACGAGACGAAAGAGAGGACGAAAGAACAATTTACACTTCGCCACATCAACACGTAGTATTCGGAACAACAGCGATACCAGAAGACGAGTATGAAGAGGAGCCAAGTTTTGTTGCATTTGTGGCTGAAAAACCTCTGGAGGTGGCGAAGGTTAGTGCCACCGGCTCCGAGATCGTCACCCGCGCTACATCAGCCTGCGCGTCTGATGAGGAAGAAGAACGAGTTGCGTCTTCCTCTCCATCTCTCTCCCGTCGGAGCAATAGCGTGGATCAAGCTACTAGAAGATAAGGCAGCTAGTAAACAATCCTCGAAGGAAGATCTTCGACGTGGTCTAATGTAAGTAAAAGTATAGTGCTCCACCGGTAGTATAGTATATGATGTGATTATCAGAAGAACCGCCCGTTTTATTCTGCATGAGAAGCACTTCTAACGACCATGTTCTTGATCACACAATGGAAATTCTATAATTAGGACTAAGGAGAACGAGGAGAAGAATGTTCTTGATGCAGTTGAACATTCATTGTTCTCAATACGTAGTAAATTGGATTGATAGCAGCTCACTTCTCTAATCACGCCCTGTTGCAGGCAAATCAGATACAACTGATTCCAGGCTACATCAGGATTTTGGCAGTTGCCCCAGAGCCAGCGCCACCGTGTATCTTCGGAGCCGTCGACAGCAAAGTCCTTCGCTGGACTCCTTGTTAAGGGTTTCCGAATTACATCCCGTGGCCGCACCACGATTCTTGGCTCTTTTCGTCGCCAGAAAAGAAGTCGGAGATGTCCTGAGGAACGTAATTCCGTGACCTCTAAACTTAGGTGTAGCGACGAATGTCACCTCATGCGCTGGATCTTCCGTTGCAGAAACCGGAGGCTCATGCTCTTCGGGTAACCACTCCAGTGCGGAGGGATCTTACAGGTCGTCCAAGGATCCCAGAAGGGACGACAATTCCAGTAACAGTACAACATGCCACTCGCCTTCTCCGCCAAGGCACGTGCAAAATTTTTTGCGGATGCTCTACAACACCGCCGCCGCGTCACCGCTGAGCCCAGATCGGTTTGCAGCTCCTGTAGTGCTAGATCATGTGCGGAGCAGCCACAACATATTGGACGAGCGTGGGGCTTCGACAAGTGCTCCGAGTGCGACTGGGACACCTCCTGGACCAAACGCCGAGTTCGTGCGGCAACGTTTGAACAACCGCGTGGCTGCTTCACGGCTGGTTGTACAGACCGATCCGGAATATAGCAGTCATATTTAAGAATAATACAGATAGAAGTGAATAAACAATAACAAGTGTTTTCTATTTATACTTACTATCAATCATGATTATCGTTACCCCAAAGAAATGCACTAGTCAGGCATCCTTCTGAGGGCTGGATTCGCTATGTGAGCGAGCGGTTTTCATTAACTGGACTCCACCGGAAAAGCTTCCCGTCCTGACTGTTCTCTTTAAAGAAATCAGGGAAAAAGGCATGTCGTGCACTCAAGCCCCCCCTCACTCACAGACGTGTGATGAAAAAACACCGCTAACATACCGCGCGAAACGCTTACGAGGGCTTCGAGACAACAGTTATGGGCCAATATGTAGAGCCTGTGTCTGCATACATAGTACAGCCATACACAGATTGATCATTATATATCATGAATCTACAACTATGTGTATGTCTCTTGCTTCTAAAGGACCCTTGCAAAGTCTAAGTCATGAACATGATTGATACTATCAACATAGCCACCACCTGCCCCAAACAGTACTACAGTCACGAATCATCAAGACCAGGACCACCCACTGTTGACCACCCCTTCCCACCCGTGGTCATCCTACTCAGAATAATGAAAGAACGACATTATAATTACTGAAATGGTTACTAAATTGTTTCACATTTTTCCTACGGGAATACTTATTTCCAGCATTGAAATGTATGATAGACAAGCGATCACTTCACCACCATTTTTTTTGATGTGTACAACTACTAATCTAACTAGCAGTAATTTGCTGTTCATCACAGAGTAATCTATTAATTTTCAGCTTCACTCATCAATGTCACAACGTGTTCGTGTATTCTTTTTCTCGTGGACAATCAGTGTCGTTTTTCTTGTGTTTGCGGGGAATATTTTCATGTCTGATTTTTTCTTGGTAATATAATTGCGTTTCGAGCTGCACCGCCTTATGATTTTCGTTGGTTTTTGTTCTTGTTTTCGTTGTTTAGTTTCGTATGTCCATGGTGGTCACAGAGATACAATACATCGTATCGCCGCATTCATTGCAATGAATATTAGTACGAGGACATTTGATTGCTGTCATCATAGTGCCACAACAGTGTGTATGAACAATAAAAAGAGTTGGATGTACTTTGCTGTAACCTGGCCGATGTTAGGTCGGAATTGATAGAAAAACTCCCGATTGTACATGGGTCATCACGTTGTCTAGCGTACGGCTAGCAACGTAGTTGCGATGATCTCAGAGTGAACAGGAAGTCTTCTGGTTCTCAGTAGCTCTTCACTTCCGGCGGACTCAAAAAATAGAACAGGGTTGGCACTTAGTTTGAGTTTGTCAAACAGGTATTCTTGATATTCGTTGATGCTAGCATATGCCGTCGTTGAATCTGGTATGTCGTGCTGACAGGTGGATAGGAGGACTGTCGGAGACGCCCGAGCGGGACAGTATTTGGCTTCAATAAGTTTGTTATTAGCGCGCCACTATCTTAATCTTGTAGATGCATGATTATTTTTTATTTCTTGAAAATGCAAGAAATGAGGTACACCCGCATTGTAGTCATTGTTGAAGTATGGAATGAGTGGTGCTTGTGAGAGAGACCCTTTTCCGCCACGGTCCGCTTCAACATGATGATGATTTTTAAATCCACTGGGTACAGGCCGATCGATCATGAATGAATATACTTATAAGAATGTTGGTGCCTTCGATTGCTTTTTTACACAATAAATCCTGATGGCTTGTTGTTCTCTTGATTGATTTCTATTTCTTGCTCTCCTCATGCCTGGATCGCGAGACTGAGCAAGGCAACCAGACTTTGCATACTCATTTCTTTCTTGAATCTCCCTCAAACCTATGTATAAGCTCTGCCACTTTTCTCGCGCTTACCAGGTTGTTTCTTGTTGAATGTCGACTACCATTTTCCTTTTCGTTGTCTCGGTCGTTTTGTAATGTGGTGCGGGGACTTTGCCGCTGACTAACACTCTTGCCTGATAAAGACGCTCATTTCTATGCACGACCCGAACAGACCTACACGTTATCTCTCGCGAAGCCGCTGCATCTAGCACATTGGCATGAGTGAGGCTCTTCAGCTTGCGCTTGAACTTGTAGGCGAAGTAGCAGAAGTTAGGATGAGCTGTCGTTCCACCGTGTCACAAACGCAAATAGATTTGTAGTCACGCCAGGACATCGCCATGATTATCTATTATGGATATTCAATTGGAATCGGACGGTGATCCAATAAAAATAGAAGAATGAAGATATCATGTAATAAGTAAACCAGACAGGATTTTCACGCCTGCCAGTTGTCGAGCTGCCGCGCTCGCCCGGTGATTGCTTTTTAATCCTCGCCAAGGAAACACGCATCATGTGTTATGGGGCATTATCCGACCAGAATGATCATAGTTACTCGAAGGAGTTGCTTTTTCAAGAAGATAAGTATTTATCTAGTACTATTTCAAATCCTAGACCTACTTACAACATACTAGCAGGGATAAGTATGGCAGGATGTTGTTGTTTCAGATGATCTCCAATACCTAGCGCCTGTGCACTGTAACTGTGTGTAGCTTTTCGCTAGGTTTAAAGCTATCTAAATGAGGCAGGTACTAGACATGAATGAAAATTGAATATCGCTGACATGAAGCCAGGCTATCTTCTCATATCAATGCGTGCAACTAGAATTGTTCCCGCCCACCCGCAACATCTCCTGGATAATATTTTCATTCTAGAGTAGTTTATAGACGCTGGGCGGCCTCGCTGGGCACGCTGGGCGGCAACGCGGGGCACGCTGGGCGGGCGCTTGGATAGCACTTAGCGGACTTGAGGGCCACACATTTGGCATGCCGAACCTCTGCGGCTGATGGATTTACTTGCGCCGTGGGGACGCGGTGCAGCGCGTCCCGTGAGGACAAACAAAGGCAGCGCGCCGCCCTCAAGGTTCAGGGAAGCGCTGGCGCAGTGCTGCGCCAGTTTGCCTCAGTAGCGGGCTGCGCTGCGCCTGCTCTGTTCAGGCTTGCACTGCGTCGCGCTGCTCGAACCGTGCAACGCTGCGCCGTTTCTGTGCACAACGGTAAACTCGACAGCGTCGCTGGCCTCGGCCTACGCTAGACTAGCACTGCTGGTGGGGTTCTCCTACGGGCGCCCGAAGGGCGCCCTGCAATTGGAGACGCCCAGCGTGACGCTGGGCGCAGAATTCGGCAGATCTGGCACATTTGTGTCGCCCAGCGACCCAGTGGGCCCAGCGTGCCCAGCCCAGCCATGTTGGGAACCCTTATAAGCTGTTCTATTATTCTTTTGATTTTAATCAACATGGGAACATATAACAAACAAACAAACATACGCATTCATAGGCATAGCATCTCATTGTATGATAAATGAACACCGGTCCGGACGTAGATCGTATTCGTAATCTAGTCGTGGTGACGAAAAATCATTTCCCCACTTCGTCCAGCTTTTCGAGTTTCGGAGCAAGGCCTTCGACTTGCACCGATGCTTCTTTGCTTCTTTCAAAAATGCCTTCCGTCTATGTCCTAGTACAACTCCTTCTAATAAATAATTACAAATGCTGGATGGCACCAATGGGATTGCTTTTTCGTCTCCCGCCGTTATTTGTTACTATATACTTACACTTTTACTGAACACGACGTCGATGATGTTGATGTTGATCGCGCGACAAGTATATTGATGCTGACCCCTCGAATGCGATAACTATTACTACTACTGCTGCGTGAGCGTGACACTGTCATGAATGGATTGAAGCAATGTATGGAGTGAACTGAAGCAAAAATCTCATTTACTTCTGGGTTCTTCTTTGCCTTTTTTCCATGATTGTCATGTGTGTATATGCATACGCGTAACTAGTTCAGAGTTAGACGAAAGAAAGAGTAGGGTAGCCAGGATAATGAATACTAAATCGAAAGGAAAGCAGAAAACTAAATCGAGAGCGTAGTTGCTGCCCCAAAGCGCGGGGGCCTCTCGTTCTGTGGCGGGCCTATACGTCTTGTTCCTGAAAAGCAAGTAACTGAGTCGCGCTGTTAATATTGCTTATTTTTCAGTTGTAGCTTAATGATAGTGATACTGCTGGACTACAAGAATGCAGACTGCGAAGTCTTGTCAAGTTTCTCGCGGGGAAACGTTGGGCGAGGCACTTGCTTGATGCGCTCGGACTTACAGCCTGAGACAAGTCAGTGGCCTCGGGCTGGTTCGATCCCTGTGGATATTCGTCGGGGTTGCAAGGGGGTCCCTAGTGCTGTCGCATGGGGTTGCATGATGGGGAACGTTTTGCGTGCTCATTCGCGTACTCGTCTCGACCACGCTGAACCCTCTGGATGAATATGCATCAGATTACGCGGGGGCTTATCATGGTAGTTCGCCATTACGATCCTCGCGCGCTTTGAACTGGTCAGAACTGGCGAGACGTTAGGGACATGGCTACCGCTATGACTGTGCGCTATCTCTTCGACCTGGAAACGGTGGAGGCCGTTTGCTTGTTGGTCATTGACTTCGGAACTACACGCCCTTAGGTGTATGGGCTTCCTTGATAACTTTCCGGTGGTGCTTTGTTCTTGAGCTTGACGAGACTGGGCGGAGAGATTGAACCAACGAACGAGAGAGAGGAGGGAAAGACCACGGACACCGGCCCTGACTATGGCCGAGGCGTTTGGAATGGCTGCCGCTGATGGTTTACCGTTTTCGCCTGGTGATCTTGGTCATTCTGGTGGTTTAGTGCTTTGGATCTTGGTGGATCTTCATGGCATTCCATTCATGGCCAACAGATACAGACGCAGCCTTCATAAAAGTAGGCGGGTGCCGACGCTCCTTTGCGACTTGCTCAGAAGCGCCTTACGTTTTATAGCATATAACAGAGTAGCCCATAGGGCTCGTTTGCCAGCTCGCATAGTATGGAGTTCATCTTCATGGGTCGCATGGAGTTGGATGGAGCTAGAGGGGGCTCTTCCTGCGTCCCTCTCCCTTATGGGTCTGCGCTCTATGCACTCCAACCATGCTCCTCCATGCACTCCATGCGCCGTGTGTGCTATAGACTGCTCTGATATGATTTTAACACGACTACAACAGCTTTTTTTTTCACTATTTTCTATTTATTTTTTCCATGTAGAAGATGAAGGAAGCAAGTTACTTTCGATTTCTTATCGTTCGGACTAGGGGCGTAGTATTACTGAATAACGTAACCTTGTTGCTTTCCTTTTTTTGCGTAGAAGTTTCCGAGAGCTTTTCAGGGTCGGCACAAAAAAAACGGGGTTCGTTGTGTGTAAAAATGCTTCTTTTTTGTTGTTGTTTCGACGATCAGGATTTTTTCTTTTCCTACGATGATGCAAATGTTGTCGATCCTTGGAGCGACCTCTTGCTAGGTAAATGAATGAATGAATTGATTGTGGTGTTTTTTGGGATGAGGAAGATTTAGTAAGTAGACAGAGGAGCTGTACTATGTATCAGAGATCATGAGTAGTAAGAGAGGAAGAGCGAACAAGAGAGGGCAGTGAAATTGAGTAGACCTGAGTCGTGCAAAGAGCGAAATGAGTGATAATTTTTCTACACGCCTCTGAGGCTGAGAGACAGTGAAAATTTGTTTTACTTGGTGGAACGAGTGAAGAATGAACTTTAATCACCATTGCGAGGATATTCATATTGAATCTGAGTGCGAAAGAAAAAGAACCAATATTTTTCGGTCTACCTACTATGATATTTTCTACTGATAGTGATATTTATTTTCTTTTTCTTACTCGAAGTCAAAGTAGTTACTGATTTATATGCTGTCCATGTCCTGAAATAATTTGGATTGGTTGCAGCAGGGATTTCAATATTCATTTCTTCACGTTGGGCAAGTATGTATATCTCATGTTGTGTTGATACTTGAATACTTATTGTATCGATATTTACTAGTTGTGACGAATCATTTTCATCATCCTTGCTCCACCTAACTCAGTAAAAAAAGCCAGAACCTCCAACACCAATGCTAATTAACTAATTCTTCTATACCCTCCACACCAGTGAACTACAAATTCCCACGACCTTCATTATATCGAAAGCATCGAAAGATCGAAGGAACGAAGATGCGAATACATTACTGGGCTTTAAAGAAAGGGCCGGAGAGATGATGCAGGTACTAGCAGCCACCTGTAGGTACCTCCTCAACATAGGAAGAAGTTTTTTCTGGCAACATCTTGTCGAATAAAATAGAAATGCACGTGGAACAAGAGCCTTATCTAGGTAAATATAAGTCCTACATGTGAAGAACAAATAATAAAGTGCTTGAAAACCCGGTTCAACCAAAGGCACATAATCATTATGCTGAATGTGGAAAGATAGAAGAAAGCTCCGTCTTATACACGAACAAGGCAGCACATCACGTGCTCCGGTGAAATATCTTAAGTAGATGAATCATTTCATTGCAGGGGCACTTGACTTCTTTATTGCGAGAATGTCACGCGTATGCATTTTCTGAGGACCACTTTTTTATGGGTGATGTTTATAATAATTCCATTCTTACGAGGACCATGGAGGCTACTCAATAGGCTGCGCGTTTTTAAGGGGGAAAGGGTGGGAGCCTCGATGGTCTGGCTAGATGGAAAAAACGCCATCCATATTTTTCGGCAGTGGTGGATCTCGTCAAGAAGGAGGTGCCAGCAGTAGCACCGAACCAGAGGGCGAACAGGAGGGTTACTCGTCGTCGAAAACCGCGCCGCATGGTCCTTCTGCGAACCAAGCAGTGCGGCAGATGAGCGGCTGGATGAACCGCAATGCGGACCGCAGCTCAAAGCAGCAACGTGGACGAGGTGGAGACGGAGGACACGCATCAGGCAGACCGCTAGAACCGGATGTCCAATTTGTTGGTGGTGTAGTAGGAAAAATTTTCATGAAAGATGCAACAGTTGATATCTCGATACCGCATTTCTGGAATCAGGATCAAGAAAAGCAGAACGTCGGAAAGTGCACCAGCATTTCAAGCTGTTCTTCGAAAATAATGGCTAACACAAGCAAGCTCAAGGAGCCATCTACTCGTCTACCCACAAATAATACGATCTCCTGTACAGCCGAAGACTCGAGTTCGACGACTTCTTGCATGTCGATGTCAAATTCCAAAAATTCGACGAAAGATCAAGTACGAGGAGTGCCATCTCCTCCTAGCGTATTGCCGAGCACAAAGCTATGGGGTGGACCAATGACGCGCGCAACATCAAAGGCGGAACCGGAATCGTGCCGCGAAACGCAAAATCAAGACTGTGCTATGATTTCGAGCTGCTCTTCAGGAGGAGGAGCGCTTCCGAGTTTCTCTAGTCAACAACAACGTACGACGACAGATCAAGTGCAAGGCCCGCTGAACATTCCTAACCAAGAGGAAGAGCAAGAACGTGCTTCCCAAGGCCAGGAGGAGGCCGGTCGAGAAGTCGGACATGTTCATCAGACGGAAATGGGAGAAGTGGAACGACTACAAGGCGTCCACAATTCTACAGCAACCGTAACTTCTAGCGGATCTTCAGTACCATTCGAAAATCCTCAGCTGGAGCGTAATGTCACAGGGCAAGAGGAAGATGTGTTAATGGCGGTTAGCAACACACGGAAAGAACATCATGACGAGGAGGTGGTAATGGCGGTTAATCGTACACAGCAGGAGCAGGTTGATACTTCTGCAACAGTACAAACAAATCAGGACCAAAATGAAGCGGCAGAATCGAAAACCGATGAGGAAGGAGAAGTTCGCCAACTGGGACCGGACAATACAGGAGGAGGAGGAGGAGGCCCGTCTGCAAGTCCACTGGAACGATTTCAAGCGTGCTTAAATCAGAGAGTCTTGGTGCTCCCAGAAATGGAGGAAGAGGACGGCCAAGATATTAAGGGACAACTCCTTCCTAATCCCAAAAAAAAACACTAATTATTATATGAAAATATAGTTCTTAATTTTCACGACTAAGTAATTCAAGTCTATCCGAAAGCTACTTGTTTTTTCTCGTACTACTAATAGGTTACGGTAAGCCTGATGGGCTCTCTACTACTAGGTCGGTGGGCCTGGGCTCTTCTGTGTATGATCCAGACGTGCTGTGAAATGATCGTCCTGAGTCTTGAAAATCTCCTGACAGTTAAAAGTCCTGAAGACGTAGACATCGAAGTCGTTTTGGATTTTCACAACCGGAGACTTGCTAGAGGACGGCTCCTGAGGAATGTCATGTGTGCGTCTCTGATTATACATAGTGCTGTCCGGATCACCCGCAGAGACTATGACTAGCTCTGACAGCGAGACTGTATACTTATTCATAGATACCCTATACTTGTACTTAGACACGACGAGACTGTATACATTTTTATACTTGTAATTCATGGATATAATTATCAGATGAGGCAGCGTAGTTTGCTTATCACGACAAAGAGCTACTGCTACATCCTCTAAATACTACGATAGTGACGATTCAGACGAGGATACAACTGAAGAAGACGACGCTTTTCCGACAGATGATAGCCCGCCATCTGACGACCGCGGTGTTGCTGCATCGCGGAGACGCACCAGGACCAGTGCTTGTGCGAAACTGCGGACTTCAGGAGAGCGCACGTACCGGAGACAAATGATGGAAATGAAAGCTGTTCGCTGCAGCAACCCGACAACAAGATGTCTTTTTTATGCCGATATATATATATAATGCTGGGTAAGTTGTAAATGTTCTCGAATTTTTACTCCTGGTATTGTCCAGGACGTTACGAAAAATTATAAGTTGTAGAGAAAGAAACAGAAAGGACAAACACAAAGCTGCTACTCCCATTCGAGCAGATGACTCACATTGAAGATGAGACTAATATGTCTATACCTATAACTAACGGCGACAGGATTGATAATTGAAGATTAGACTGGTGTCGTCATGATGCGCAGGTACTAGAAGCTTTTTCATCTCTATGACTCTGAAATATGATGTTGATGAATGAGTGTGCACGTTCGTTGTACTAGATTCTTGTCGACGCACTGATGATGTGTGTGCTTTGTCTCTAAGACAAGGGGGGAAAGTCTGCAGAGCAAGAGGAGAAACAACTCAGGAGTCGCAAAAGGTCAATTCATCCGCTGCTTGACTTCGCAGGTGAGTGCGCAGGAGGATTCACCGAGGAGCTGAGAGAAGCTTACACACCCTCGCAGATTACCCAGCTCCTGAGAGGAAGAAGCGCACGCCGTTTATGCTTCGGTTTCTATCCTGCTGATCTACCTCTTGTTCAAAGTAAATTTGAATTATACATAGCGCCTTGACGGTAGTCATGATCGTTATCAGAATCAGAACGCAAAAAAAAAAAACTCTACGCGCATTAGTAACGGTGCCATCAGGGATACACACACACATACTTACAGTTCCACTCTTTCTAGAAATTTAGACTTTGAAAAGTCATAGGTATATCTCATTACCCTCACAAGGAAGTCACTTCTTGTTCTTCACCCAGTTCTGACTACGAATGAATCATTTTTGAGCACTTGATACAGCAACCTGCTTTTCTTGGCTTACTACAAATCAAGAAGAGCAAGAGACGTGGAGGTGCGCATATCAATATGATGAACTATTTACATGCGTTAAGAATTGCTGGCGGGGGACCGCAGCAGCCCAAGTCACGTTTATCGAATCCACATCCGTTACTGGGCCTCTCACCCTCCACATCGTCTTGCGAGGATTCGGCGAAAAAAAGGACGAGCGGACGTGAAAGAGCTAGAGGTGGCGGCACTAGCAAAAAAAAGCAAAGAGGATATCGGATCTTTCAGCTATTCGTTTCGACGGACGTCGTTTATAAACGGCCTCCGCCACAAGAACGGCCTCCGCCACAAGAACGGCCTCCGCCACAAGAACGTCCTGTACCACAAGAACGTCCTGTATCACAAGAACGTCCTGCGCCACAACCTGCAGCCCAAGCGGCTGGAGATCCGCAACGAGCCTCGACGAAGGCGCACACTGGCAAAGACAGTGACTTGTTTTTTTACGAGGAATAGAAGGCGAATCTAGTAGTAGTTGAAAATTAGTACGCTTCTTGATGTTCATCTTTTGTTCAGGTTCAGTATGTTCTGACCACTATTGCGGTGATGGTGTGTGCTATGTATCTTAACCACCAAAAAAAGATCGCTTCGGTTTTTATATTTTGCCCACATGGAGGCAGTGCTGTGCACAGATCTTCTGGGCGCGAAATTCATAGCATTGTATTCGCCGTTAGTGAGAACCCTCCCAATATGCTGTACTATGGCTCCACCTCTTATAGAGGAATTACCTAGTTAGGGTTAGGGACTTAGCTGTGCAATGCAATCTTGATCTGCTGGCTTTAAAAAGTGCGCGACCAAGTCCAAAGCTACGACGAGTGGGCATTCTCGATTGCATCGAACAGTGCACGACCTCACAAAGTCCAAGATGAGGCTAAGGACAGCACGAAGACACCCACTGGTGCAGCTTCGAATATAAGCTTTGCATCTACTAAGACACCCGCTGTTCCGACTGTTAGTCTTGCATCTACTACAAAATATATTCTTGAAAGAGTTGAGCAAGCACATGATGTGGCTGTAAAAGATGCAGACGCTGATACATTATCGGATCATCCAGGAGATGCAGCTGCGACAATCTTGGATGTGCTACCAGATGCTCCTGATCACGAGGATAAGGATGACCACGGGAAGGCTTCGCTTTCACCAGAGGCGGAACCACAACCAGAGGAAGTAGCCACTGATGTTCCGGCGCCTTGGAACACAGCAGAATCGAGGAAAATGCTGAAAGATTTTACCCTACTCCTCAATGCTCGGACAGGACGCGGGCTCCGACTTCCTGGAGGTGGAAGTACGTTGACAACAAGTAGCGAGCAAGAGGTGGTCTTACACGCTCGCTTGCGTTGGGATAAGATGGCGTACCAAAACTTGGGAACTCTTCAAGATCGGTTGCGCGCCTTCGGCCTTTTTGCCGTCACAACCAGCGACAGTGAAGACTTTGAAGATCATAAAGATGTTATGGTCACGACGTCAACTACAACAAACTAGTACATGTCATGTCATGTCAGGATGCCCAAGTAGATCTAGATATCTATCACTTTTTTATTATTTCTCATACCGCTCCCGCTGCGTATCAACATACTAGTACATCCGCACCGCCACTTTAGTTTGGAAGCATGACCAACCTCATGGCTTTACCTTTTGGAAGATACAGTCATAGATACGCATAGTGGTGAGAGTAAGAGTTTCTACTCTTTGGAATTGGCAAGAGCTATATACTAATAAGATATAAATATGTACTTAGTTCCAAAAGAAAGGTTAAGATTATTCTTGATGAAACTGATGCCGCTAATGATAGAAATACCAAGATGAACAGTATTCGTGTTGTACCGTTTTTGCCACCTGGACTCGCGAGAGAATTACAAAGTCAGGCGTCCCAAGCTGCAGCCAGGAGAAGCGTTGAGCGGGCGGCCCCGTCGGCGCGCGATAAATTTTCAGGACGAGGCGGCCCGATCAAATCCTCGAAATCGTCGAGGGCGGGGGCGCAGTCTAAAGATGATGCGCCTACATCAACCAGAACATCAAGTAGACATCATAGAACCGAGAGTAGAGATCATTACTGGTCCTCGACTCGAAGTAGTGACAGTCATCTTCAAGGGAGTAGCAGCGCGAATGCTCTGGCGAATGGGGGAGGTATGACCCGTGGTGATAAAGACGCAGTGTCAAGCGCCATCATGGAGATGGAAAGCCGGGAAACGTGCCCTGCCTATGCGACCCCCGAACATTAAGGCTCGCCAATTATCGATTTTATAATATCACTGTCATATCATCCATGAGTAAAAAGCAACTTCGGGTGCATGTACTACTTGCGAGATTTGTTTTGAGACTACTTCTTCTTTCGCGTAGTGCCTGCTTGAAGATGAGAATCTGAAGAATATTTTTCAAAGAGGAGCGAAGTCATCATGAAAGTGGTATTCTCGGCAGTGGAAAGAGGAGTTGGACGACTGTGAATGTGATTGATGGATGGAAAGGAAGAAGAGCACTAGCAATGTCCAAGGTGCGAAATGAAAAGTTCTTCTAAGAAGTAGATCAGGCCACCTCGGACAGACTGGAGTTGAAGATCACGCGTGCCAAATTGGAGCGTGACACGGGAAGAACAAAAACAATAGGGTCTAATTCGCCTGGAGGTGACTTGAGATCAGCTGCAGTCGCGGAAGCGCAACTAAAAGACTCCGAAACAAAGCTGCCACGAGCAGCGCCTACACCGAAGAGTACCGGTCGCGCGGGACAGATCTTAGGAGTCAGTCGAAGATCACACCAGTGTAATTCTAATTTACTTATTTCAAAGAGTCAGAGTCTGACGACGCCGACGCGCTCAGATAACCTGTCGTGGTACAAAATCATAATCAACTTGTTTCTTTCACTATCTCGTGCCGGGAATAATAAAGTACAAATAGTATCCTCCACTCGAACATCTTGTAGAATGATGCAGTAGTATCTACTCTATTTGCATGACAACGACGTAGTCAAGTTATTCTTGATTGATATGGCCACCCCCTAATCCTCTCTCAACTACTTCTTCTAAAGAAGGCTGGACATGGAGGAAGCGGGCGTCAGTTTTCAACAGATTTCCTCGGTGGACTTCTCAACTCGCGCCGGAACATTGTTGCTGCAATCGACAAAGGCAAAGATCATATGAAAACGTCGTTGCAGAGAGATGGAGCTTCAGGCATGTCTTCTGAAGTAGCACGACGCAATCTACAAGGAGGATCTGCTTCTAATGGCAGCGGCCTTGACACTGATGGCAACCTAATTGTACAACACGGATCTCACGCTTACCTATCATCTGGTGCGTCAAAAGATCATCATCATTATGTCGGAGGCGCAGCTGCCGGTTTTGCTGGGAATCTTTGCAATGGTACTCTTCCACTCGGATCCCCCTCGGGTGGAGTGGCTACTGCGTCGCACGAATTAATGAGAGGAAATCCCGCACTAACTCTAACCCTGAACCAGCAACTGGCACAAGGCTCTTCTGCTCAGCAATCCTTCCACCTTAAGGGCCTCCAGACATCGGATGCTGCTTCATCTCTAATACCATTTTTGTTGACTTAAGTATTCTCCAATACATAGGAAACGGAAAGAAGTCAACAACTACAAAAGGATTCGAAGAATGCAAAAAATGCGCAAGCTCTAACTTTCCCGGAACTAGCGTCGGTCCTCTTTACCCACCTTCTAGGAAAAAGCTGGTGATCCGACTGAAAAAGCCAAAGAATCAAGGGAAAATGCCCCTGAAACCGCTTGAGGCCATTGCTGAAGGCACTGATCTTGAGGAGCTACACACAGATGCAGACCACGCGACAGGGGCTGCTGCTTCTGCAATGAAGACAGCTGCAGCAGATATCAAGCCACGGCAAAGTTCAGCTTCAAGTTCTTGCACCGCTGATGGCATGATCGTCGACGTCGTGGAGGGACAGTGGAGGATCGCTGAAGATCATCACATGAAGATCGTAGAGGGGGAGCAGGGTGTCGAGACATCAGTTAAAGAGACACCAACTACTCTTACAACAACAAATTTTCAAGATCCCAGAAAAAAAAATTGCACAACTACACAAGCAGGACAAATGCATAGCTGCACTGTGTCGTCGATGCAAATAAAGGAAGACGCGGCAACATCTGAAAGGGCACATGAAATAAGGGGGCACTCTCCTTCTAACGTCCCGATGCGCACCACCACTCCATATCCGGAAGACGCAAAGACTTCCTTGACTCCGACACATGCCATAGCGCAAACCATGACCGAGCAGCGCCAATCTGTGCCTCGTCAGTTCGACAGAGCGCGTCACACGACGGTCGTGGCAACCTCCAAGCCTGGTGATATTTTCAACCCCAACCCTGCCGCGACCTCCACGCTCGGGACCCGCACAGTCCGTGTATCGACGCAATCAGACTTAAGGCTATCGCTAGAGCATCCTCAGCAGCATCCCTGCCGCTTCTTTTGATACTTGAAAAGGAAGAGAGGGATGCCTTCAGGGATGCGAAGGCGGTAGCTCTAACAGACCCAGCAAAAAACTTGGATTCTGACTGTATTAGCTCCCTGGTTGACGCTATTGCGATGAAGTTGAGTATTCTCGAAGATGAGTCACTCGTCGATGAGGACACTGTATTTGCCAGAGACGGGGTTTTTGACTGTGAAGAAGAGGATCGCCATCGTGTTGATTTAGAAAGAGAAAGACACACGTCGCTCGCCCATAATATAACTGGTCGCCGTGTTTACGCGGCAAGCTCATCGCGCTCAGCAGTGCTATTGAATGATAGTAATTTGCCTGACGTACAGCTGCTAAGTAGGAGCAGCGCTTGTGCTAGTCCGCATCCGCATGGAGGTGCGTCTTCTGGTTTACCGGGAAATTTCTCATCCTGTTCCTCGTCGACGTCCTCGCTGGAGGACATCGAGAGGAGCAACAACTCCGAATCTATTACCACAACTTCTGCGACTACACCGAGTGCTGCTGACGAATTATACAAGAAAAATGAGGATGAACAAATCGCCGAACTCTACCAGGACCTGCAGCAAGATCCAGAACTACGCACTCTGAGCGATCGCGTCCCGCAACTAATTCACGTTGGTAACAAGGATGAGCAACAAAACCTTCTTCTCGATACAACACTGGCTTCTTGTCCGCAGGAGGAGGAGCTGAAGACCTCCGCTACATCAAGTCAGGCACCGATGAGCGAACAGAGCACCGACAGTGATGCGCAGGCGACAAACGTGGACGAAGGAACCAGCGACAGCGATGCTTACTCTGACGGTATGCGGCTTCGAAGTGAGGCGGCCCGCGCTCGTCATTTGAAAGCCGTGCGAGCTTCTGTATTCGCCGTTGAAAGTGAAAGTGAAGCGTCTTCAATATTAAGGCTAGAAGTACCAGTAGCAGTAGACTAAGAAAAAGCGAAAGCACCGATAAGTAGTAATGTACTTTCTTCCTCACAAGTAAAGGGTACACGTACGGGAAATGGTCCACCACGCAGCAGAGATCTACTTCATATGTACTAGATCATAAAGCAGCTTCTGCTGATGTTACAAAGAATATCGATATTCGGGAAGCAAGAGGACTTTCACTCGGTAGCTCTAACAATTTCTCAAGCGTCCCCTTCGCCAGCAACGCCAGAAACGGAACCATCTAGCCGTATGCAGGAACAGTATGGGTCCAGTATGTCGTCGCCTTTGGAGTCTCCTGGCTCGGTAACAGAAGCCTCTGACTACACCACGGACACAGAGGTAAGCTCTACACCGAGTCACTTCGGATTTCCTGCGAGTGCGTCGACTAGTTGCACTAGAGGCAGCAGCAAGAGCAGCAGCAGCGATGGCGCAGTGTCATCAACTGCAAGAACTTGTACGACTGCGAAAACGAACAGTCTTTTGGACTGGCAGAGCGGGGATGGATCCTCGATCGCATCAGGGGATCTTGGGAAGTGTGCCGAGGCGGGTGATGATTCTAGGTATGAGTCAATGGTGAGGGATGCCGTTGACACGGCAACGGCCATGGAAAAACTACATGCGACGACCACAAATTATGATGATGGTTATAGGGTTGACAGAGCGAAAGCGATGGAACCCGAAGAGGCTGGACATCGACAAGCAGGGGACGAAGGCAGAGCAGCAGACCACGAGAATCATCTTCTAGGAGATGGAGATGAGAGAGTGGAATATAGATCCACTTCTACTACTACAGAAGAGGCACTTCTCATAAAGAATGTGAATGACCAAGAGGACCACCGAGAACCGCAGGAGAAAGAGACCGCGCGTGCAAGTAGACAAGAACATCGCGTCGATCAAGAACATAATCGGCGGGGGCAGGAATACGGCATCGCACAGGACAACGAGGGGACCACCACGAAGCCGCGAAGACATAATCCACCCATTCTTGGTACTCGCAGCGTACAGAGAACCACGACGCCTCAGAGTCAGAGCCAAGAAGATGATCCTCTTGATCCTGTACAGGAAAGAGATCAACAACACGAAGTGCTGGACAATAATGTTGATCCGCCTCTTACGACTTCTGGAAATCTTCCATTCTGAAAAGCATCTTGCTGGACCTTCGTCCTCTTACTTGGGGGACGAAAACGGGGGCCCACGATGATGACTTTCATGATGGATCATCCCAGGAAAGTGTTCTAAGCGTCCTTTTCGAGTGGCTGGGTGGGTCGCGCCACCAAGGATGCAGGACCATCGGAAAGCACTTGCTTTGTCTGCGGTCGGAGCATATCAGTGGCGAGATCCCTATCCTGTATGGACTCGAGTTGCATTCGAAACTAACGTCCTGCGCTTACGACTCACCTTAGGATCGGACAAAAACGAAGAAAAGAAAGATCCGCAGAACAAAGAGAAGAGCAGCGGCACGAGAATGAAGATAAGGCTTTTCTTCGTGGTTGTAATTTCAATTTGGATTTGGATATTGCCTTAACCTTATAAATACTCATCTTCTGAAAAATTGAAATTGTAGACGGAATTACCAAGTAAGTAGCTTGGTCGTGGGACACATCAGATTCAGAAGTTGTGCAGGAAATAGAAGTTTGTGCAGTGACGATATGAACTGAGATCCACATGCACGGCAATGAACGATTCGATCTCATCTTCTAGCGGCGCATGAACTAATTCCATTTATTATTGCTCGACACTTTGTACTATTTACAAAATCGGTGTGGTGAATTTGGCGCTAACTTTCGATCCCGAGGCACGCCAGCCGCCTTCTACTTCGACTGTTGCTCAAGGGCTTCCTCAGCAGCCGACTAGCAGGCAATATGCTGGGTTGGATGGTACGGCTTTTCGCATCGATCAGCCAAGTGCAGAGGAAGCAGACCAAACTGAGAACGAGATCAAGGCTAGTCCGGCTCGGAAGAAATTACAACATGCAGGCGTAGAACGTGGCAGGAGTAAGGTAGGCGAGATCAATGTCCGTCGTGTGCAATTGGGCGAAACAGTAACGCACGTTCTTCTGGGTCCGCGGCACACGACCCAGACAGCTTTAGACGACCTTGGCAGTTAAGGATAACGTATAATACAATATTCCATCTAATCACATTACAATCTTCCATTCGATTCCACCAAGCCTTCGCTTTCTCAATGAGAGGAACGGATTGATTAAGCTGGGGATTAGATGCGTCATCCTTGGCTCTCCTTCTCAAGCAGGAGAAAACGAAAAGTATAGATGCATTTGCATAGCCAAGACGGAGGTTGTGGTTGGGGGGATGAAATATTTGAACAGCGGGATGGACGTTTACAACCCAGTATTTTCTCTTCTAAGGCATCAGCCTCATTGCGCGAGTAGAAGACCTGCGATCACACGCACACCTGATTAGAGCGGACGCGAACGACCGGGAAAAGAACACTCAGGAGGAAATTGCGGAAGGACTTTTGACAGAGTTTGCTGATTCGAGGATATCAGGAGGACCACCACGACCATCACCACAACAAGAACAAACAGTCGCACCGTCCTCGCAAGCGGTAGCGGTACAACAACCGGAAGCCGTAGCGGTACTAGAAGAGATTTTTCGCCGTCAAGACCAGGCTGATCTCGATCAAGGGTCTGGCGTCGTTGCATCTTCAGAGCCCGCTAACGCTCTGACCTCTGTCGCATCAGGACATTCTTGTCGCAACATTGTACCTGTTGCAAAAATGCCGTATCTTTTATCACCTACTACTAAATCTAAAAGAGAGGGCAAGAAAAGCAAAACGAAAACAAAAACGACTGATACCTCCACAAGTACAAGAGTCGTGGACGGAGAGAATGGACAAGAATTGCCTCATCCTGACATGCACTCTGTTGGCCTATTCGTGGAACTCGTGGTGCATTTGTTTCGAACGGCGTATCTCACGGATCTAGAAACTTGGCAAGCCGAAACATGGGTACCCTCTGGTCGCGACTATTAAGACAAGCCAACTACTAGCAAATCAAAGTGCATCCTCAACGTGAACGACATTCTTGGAAGCTTCTTTTTCAAGCCGAAAAAGAGCCCGGGAATGGTCTCAAGGATGCGACACGGTAGTTCTAAGAATACACGCCCTGCTGGCGCTCCCGCAGCAGCCTTGTTGAGGCAGAGGCTGCAAAAAAGGCAGAGGCTGCACGCGTCCGATCTGGCCCGAGTGCCTCTACTTTATGGCTGGAATTTGAAGCGAGGTTATCTAAGTAATATTCTTGAGAATGGTCGTCTTGGACTTGGAGAACGAAGAGGAGAATCGTTTGATGTTATTACACCATCTCCAGATCACCTTGCTCGACCTCGAGTTATTTTTTTCCTGATGTCGACGCCACACACCGCATCTACTACGAGTTTGAGTTGTATCTTCATAGCTGCTCTCTTTATTTTTTATGAACGATGGTAACAGGGAACACCTACACAGCATGCATTTTTAGCGACGAAAGAAGTCACCTTTGTCTTCTAACAAGAAGTTGCAGTGCGTCAAAGACCGCGGTCCCACCAGATTGGAATTGTCCCTATCGATTGTTGCGACCACACACCATTCGCCTACTCGCACTAGATTTCCTGTACAATCGTGCTGCGAAGTTTGCCGCTGCTACTGGAGGGGCTGCTCGTGTAGTAGGAGACGGCCTACCTCCTAAGAAGGAAGCTACGGTCGGCACAGGCGTACAAGCGGTCGGGAACTTGTTTCGTGGTAAATCCGCAGAACGCGAGGCTGACCGCTTCGAGCATTCTAAACAAGATGGCCATGGCACTTTGAGGTCCTCCTCCTCGGAAGATGTTTTAGCACACAACCATACCGAAGGGCAAGGGCGTCGCAGAACGACTCAGTATGGGGGTGCTACTTCTTCTGGCAATTCAAAACCTGTGGTTTTCTCACCGCTGGCGATTTTCCAACTCCTCATTGTCAACTTTTTTTATGGCTAAAGTCAACATAATGATGTGCTGCCCTCGAGTAATATTTCTACTTTATCTAATACATAGTTGTTGTCGTGTAGAAGTGTCACCGCTAGCTACTAGCTTTTAGAACTACGATGAGTGAATCATCATGATCAACATACTTATATTGTATATCCATCTCCACCATCCACTTTGCCTATGTTGGCGTGGTCTCATCTCCAGCAAGAACATCAGGAACGCACACACGACGAGAATATCAGATCCAGACAGTTTTCTTCCTTCTTCTAATGCTATGAGGAGTACGCGACGATGCTACGACAGCTCGAAGAAAACGGCGTAAAGCACTTTTACGTTCACGAGAAATATCCGAGTAACGACAAGCCTGCTGAAGATGGAGAGTTTGAGAATGGAGAGTTTGAGACCAAGTCCACTTTAGTTAAGGATGGAGAGATGACGAAGTGCAGTAGCAACGAACATACCTAATTTATTAGTAAATTTTGGAAGCACAAGCAGGAGGCAAGATCAAAAAACTCACTCAAGAAAAGCGAAGATGTCGCACCCTAAAGAAGATCTTCTAGAGCAATATCGTAGATCACCGCGAAGTGAGTGTCAGCTTTCCGACAACCGGTCGAGAAGCTCTAATCTGAAAATCTTTGAGAGCGTGGTGGAAGCACTGAATCCGTCCCGCGGACCGGTCCTTAGACAGTGGCCGATTCACAATCTTCTGGGCTGGGCTGAAGTCTTTTCTTTGCCTGGAGTGTGGGTGTAGCAGGGAAGAGAAGGAGAATGAATGTAGCTACATGTTGGATGTAGCCGTAACAAAGAGAATATAGAAGCATTGGTGTAGCATGAACGAGGAGCAGAATGTAAGAGACATTAGACGATGGGTGTAGCAGGGAAAAGTTGGCCGTGGGTCCATGTTGTATAAACGTAAACGCGCCATTTTTAGAATAGCCTCTTTGTAGGCGGTACACGACAAGGGAATGTTACAACGACCTGGGTGAAGGCAAGGGAACAAGAATAGCGAAGCAAAAGTGTACAAGATGGCGTGTAGGGAGCGGAACACGGATGAAAGATCGTACGTAGTGCTAGACCACGACCACCTGATTAGTAATACTAGTTTTGGATCGACAGTATGAACATCAAGACTGCACTTGTTGTAGTACAAACGCAAACTGTGGCTAACGCAATTATAGAAGAACTATTTTGGTTTGTTTTTCAGATGAGCAGATTTAGTGCTAGTGGATTGGACCATGTACATTCATAAGGTAACATGATTTGCTAGTGTGAATTCGAACATATACTAACACACATGACGACACAACATCATGACGTCCTGCAACACTAGTCCCAAAATATAGTGAAGCAGGATCCCACCTGCTATCCTCCATAATCAAGTAAACATAATGACAATGATAAAATCAATGTAAAACGACCGCAGATTAGAGCTCTTGTTTTCTAGACTTGAGTATGCGCGTGGCAAATCATCTGCATTAGTGTGTCGTGCTGAGGTATTTTTCTTTCTGCGCGGGTTATGTTAAACATCTAGCGAACCGATTAAGTAACAACATGTGATCATCATGTTGTTTGGATTTGATGGACATCCAGCGAAGAAAAATGAATTAAAAGGCGTTACCCGTGTTGTAGTGGTGAAGGAACAAGCATAAATAAGGGCGTCGACATGGTAATTTCTCTCCCTTGCTTTTAAGTGTCTCAAACCTCCCTCACCCAGTTGTGGTCTGGACGAAGCCCATTTTTGATGTGTCTTCAAGACCTTATCATAGACCACGCAGGTGTTAACTACATCTTCATGCTAGAAATAGGCATATTTATAAATTCAAGCGACCTCCGTACCCTACATCTAAATCTTGAGAGGTACATGTCTGGTGTCTACTGTGGGGCTTGGTCTGCTTACCGCAGTTTTCGAAAGTTTGGGTGCCTCTTGAGGTTGATGATACTACCTCCGCCACATTGTAACAGACTGAAAAAGACAACGTTTCTCACGAGTAGTGACTTTGAGCAAGAACAACTCACGTTTTTTAGGAAAAGGCCATCTTAGCATTGGGTGTCAACACCGCCTGGCTGTATATTGCTACTGGCTGCCTGGTATGACGCTAAAATAAATAGGCTTGACCCTGGTTCTTGCACAAACTGGCAGAAAAATAGAGTCTTGTTGTGAGTCTTGGTTGCCATTCAGGCACGCATAAATCGGAGATCCAATATGATAGCTGCGTTTGTGTTCGAATACTGACCTTGTAATAGATGAGTAGAATGCGGCTTTCCAGAATCTTGTAAACACGAAAAAAATCTAAGTTATCCATACTCTTTTTGCAATGTGACAGTCGAAGATGTGTCAGCGAGGAAAGAGGTAAACGAATGGGATAAGCAAGGAAGGGCATGTATAGAAGTTGGGACTCCACGCGACAAGGATAATGCAAAAGGAACAGCTTGAAAGTTGGAGGAGGATCATCACAGCTCGAGGCTACTACACAAATCCGACCGATCACCACAATACCCTGGACGTCCACTATCACACAACAGCAAGCAGACTCATGGACCTTCACCACTATTCTCTACCTCGCGCGCGGCCACATGATGCGCTGCGATCTTCTAGAATCCTGCTGCAGCCGTCAATGATGTTTTTCATCTTTTGCTTATTGGTGTTGCTTTGCTCTGCTGGCTCCATTTGTGTCTTCTTCTTTCCCTCTATCGTCTCCATGAGATCCACGTCGATCGGCTGCCGGCAATACGGACACAGGTCCCCACTAGCTCCTTGCTGCATGTGATCCCTCAGGCACTCTTCGTGGAATGCATGTTGGCAGTGGTACAAAACGACCCACCTCTTGTCGGATTCTGAGTCCATGCATATTTGACACTCGCGCGTATCAACTGGGAGCGAGGTGTATAGTATGATGGTGATACTGAAGATGCTGAGCCCTTTTCATCCAAAATGTTCTTCAGTTGTATCAATCGGAAAGAAGTGAGACGAAAGAGACAATGCGCATGATCAAAAACATGTTACTAGAAGTAGATATAACCTCTGGGGACCGAAGAGAAATCGGCTATGTATAGCATACCACTCCAAGAGCCACGGGTCAGGCATGCTCGGGCGCTATTCCAAACGGCGTCCTGAAGTTGTTGGGCCAAGTTGGCTGCCGTCTGCTTTGCGTTATTGCATTCCTGCAAGAGATCGTCGATATTCTCGTCCATTTTGCAGCCGTCTGCTAGCAATGCCGCGACTCTGGTCTTCCTTCGTGCATGTGAACCCGTCCCACTCTCACCGTGCCCTATTGTGCTGTACTGACTGCTATACTCGTCCTGCAGTGCCTCTTTCGGATGGTCGAAACTATCCTGAATGCCTTCAACGTCTTTCTTCAGCGCTCTGATCTTTTTAGAGCACGAAAGGAAAAGCCAAAAGCAAGTCGAAACTTATAGTATTTGGCTCGTCTCGAAATCGACTGAGCAGCTGAAATACAGAATGCCTGTGCGTTCACCTGTAAAAAACGCGTGATCTTTTCCTAGGTTGAATCTTGAATCTACTAAAAGCCTGAGCGTGGGCTTCTTCTATGTTGTTGTAGGAAGCTAGTCTCATTCTGTGCATAAGTTGCGGCGCGACTTTGTCTTTGATCTTGATTCTGTCACTCCTCTTCTTTGTCTCCTTTTGGATCAGGCGTCGCTTCTCCGCTGAAGCAGTTGCCGCATTGATTTCTACCGTGGTATTGTTGACCAGCTCTTTTCCCATTTCCTCCACAATATGCTGCCACAACTCTTCCACTTTAGTATCGAAGTTCTGAAGATGATCCTGCCAGTTTCCGAAAAAATCGCTCCACCCTTCGTCTTGCAGCGTCGTTCTAAATTTTCGAAACAGATCGGAGTGAACGCCAATGAAAGTAGCTCAAGCTCATGATTCATTGTTGTAGATCTTCTACCGTCAAACACGCAAGGAAGCTATTTCTTGAAGAGTGTCTCGGTAGTTGTCAACATCTTGCATGCCATGACGCCATCACGATAGAGATAGTTACTGTATGTGAGAAGTGAGCACCACGCTGGAGAGAAGTTCCGAGAAGGACGAGAATGCATGACAAAACGAAATCGCCATAAAGTCAGATATCCCTTTTGCGCCACTGTGTACTCCGCCTTTCCTCAATGTCGCCGCGTAGGTTCCCCAGTGCAACCGTCCCCATTCATCCACACAGCCAGGAGCTGCTTGATTAGCATACCTCGCCGCCTTCTTAATCCACCTATGCAAATTCCCAATTTCTTCCTTCAAATCCTCTACCACGTCCCGCAAGCGCGTATCAGTGTGCCTGATACGTGTTGTGACCTGGTTATAACAGAGATGCTCCTACTCAATGCACCAAATCAGAAAACACGACTCAGGCAAAGACGATCAATTTGACGATGATAGAGAGACGATAAAGAAAAATGGAGCGAAGACAATTGACGTCACTAATTACTGAAATAACCGAGTTACTGACTGAAATTATAAGGGGCGTAGCTTAACATCAAGGCTACCCTTCCTTCTCCTCAGGAGTCTCGCGGTTATTCTGATCAGTTACAACTTGCAATGCATATTTCAGTTTTTCGAAAATAAAAGAGAACGGAGCCTTCTATCCTCAACAACATTTTCTGACGAAGTCTTTTCCTACACAACGAGTCACATCAAGTTGTACGTTGTTAAACGAAAGCAGTTCTTTGATACTACTACTAGAATAGCTTTTTGTGGGCGCTGGCTGGCTATACACGCTGGGCATCTGGGCACGCTTCGCGGCTAGGCACGCTAGATTGGCGGCTGGGCGCGCTCGGCGGCTATGCACGCTAGATAAGCAGCTGGGTACGCTCGGCAGCTCCGCTCGGCGAACTTTTAGAGGGCCTTCTCTTTTAGCGCACGCTAGGGTATTGGGCCACGTAAGCACTTCTACAACGCGATTATACCTCGTCGAAAATCTTCTCGACGAACTCTCTGAGATCCTCCGTATCAGTGTCCTGCTCGTTTTGATCGCGGTTAGGATTTTCTAAAGCCTCCACCTTCTCCTTGCCGAAATTGAGCAAGTCCTTTAGCTTCTGCTCCACGTCCGCGTTCACCTCCCTCCAAATACTGCGGAAGATGAATTGTGCTAGATCTGGAATCTCCGTCTGATCTTGGGTGAAGCCATCGTCTGCGTTCTGGTTCATGCCTGAAGATGAGGGCCGAACTTCAATTTTAGATTCATATCGAGACCAGATTCGAGTTTAGAAATCGAGATCCCATCTGGCAACATCTTCAACAATAAGATGACCACTAAAAAGTAGAGTCTATTTATCAAATCACAGAACTTAGGCTCCCGATGCATGACCACTAGGAATTTACACACAAATATAGGGTGAAGCTGATGAACTTGAATACCCATGACATGATGACGATGAAGATAGTGCTCAGTTACAAACCTCCATGTCTATCTCTATTCATTATTTAGGAGTTCGAGAATGAGAGTTGTACCGCTAAGCGCCATGTATTTTTCGCTTGACACAACGTGCACCGGAATTTCTTTTCCGTACTTGAAGTCCTGCAGCATGCGTTTGATGTTTGCTTTGACTTGTTCACGATAGGCTTTGCGCTGTCTGTTCAATTTATGCGCCGGATCTTCTGCGACCTCGTCTGCGAAAGGATCATCTAGATCATCTGCAAAAGGATCGTCTTGAGATAGTTGCGAGCCTCCAAGTGCGCCACTTCTACTGGAGTTATTGACATTCGCACGACCGGCAGTAGAGGATGAACTAGAAGAAGAAGCTGCGGCCGCGCGCACATTGTCAAAAGCTGCCAGCTCATCTCTTGGAACGTGATCAGATTTCGTGGCAACAAAAACAGTTGTGTTCCTTCCGACGTTCTTCATCTGCAGTTGTTGCACGGCGTCCTGTTCATGGTCAATGATAGATTACTTTATATGATTGAAGATTGACGCGAAGGTGAGAATGAGCACAGGAGGAGAAGAATATGGTGTCAGGTTGTTCTGTGTAAGGTAAAAAAGCAATTTTTCTTTCACATACTTTGAGACCTAGATGAAGGAATGAAGAACCAGGGCTACTTTCTACTTCTTAGATGAATCTGAGTCAATAGTTGTATATGAATGTACCTTTTTCAAATATTCTTTCGTTTGTCTATCGCTGCCAGCGCGAGCGGAGGCGGCGCATATGACGATCTTGTCAGCTTTGTGGAGATATTTTTCGGCTACCTTTTCCCTCATACCGCACTCGTCGCCGAATCCTGGCACATCGATTAGTCGCAACGCACAGCCAGGTAGGTTCAGTAACGGAAACTCGCCTCCAATGGAAACATGCTCCAGGATCCGCCAGTACTTCTCCTCCAACGCGCGCAAAGTATCTAGCGTATAGACTTCTGATGTGAACGTCTTCCCAATTAGCTGCGCGCCATACAATTCCGCGCGAAAGACGAGTGGCAACAATTCATCTCCCCGACTATTCGGGATAGGGTTGCTGCAATAGGATGCGAGTAGACGCGTGGACCTCTGAAGGAACTCTGTTCTCCGTCTTTCCACCATGCCCTCATTGCTTCTCCCAGGTTCGATCTCGCAGGCCCAGTCTGTTTCTTCGCTATAGAGGTACTGCTGCTGTACGTTTCCCGGCGGGACCCGCGAGAACAGAAGCTTCAAAATCGGCACCACATCGTTCTTTTTTTCTGTCTTCGTCACCTGCATGATGTTGTTGGAACAGCATATGGATCGATAGAGATTAACGTGGATCGTATTTGAAATGAGGACAGAGGGCACGGGAGGTCGCGAAAAGCGAAAGTTGAGATGCTGCATTTATTGATGCTGTGCCGGTAGCTTTAAGTAAGTACTTACACTATCACAAGCAGCATGCTCTCACGAAGCGCAATATTGGATAAGGAGAGCACCGTTAAAGAGAAGAGCTCCTCGACCGCGCCCATCAGCAAATCTTTAGCCTGCGCGGCGTCTAAAAATTTCAGTCCTACTCGAAACTTCGGTCTCAACACAGGCGCGCCCGGCAAGTACCTCTGATAGTCCATGGTGACCAGCTCGCCTAACACATCTCGCCCACTGCCATACTTTGTTGTGGTATTCAATCCAGACAATACCTCCTGCGGTGGGGAGGGTCGGTAGTAGAACTCTGTTGGGACGCTGGTCACCGCTGCTCCGGCTCCTCCAGTTTTCGCTAGTTTCTCTCCAAGAAGCGCATTCACAAGGCTGGACTTGCCTGTTCCGGTGGCGCCGATAACGCACACGCGTTTTACCTCCGCACCGCTTGCATGAAGATGTTGAGAAGAAGCTGACGACGCTCCCAGGGCAGGCGCAGCTGCGCTACTACTTGAAGATGAGCTGCCGCTTGCTCCTGCGCCTGCTCCGCCATATCCAAACGGCTGCCATCCGACAGGAAAGCTCCCACGTTTTCCCTTTCCTTTGGCGGGTGCTGCCATGCCAGAAGCCATCGAGGTGAGAGTGGTAGCGGATTCACTATTTTGCATGTTCTGCAGCACGTGTTTCATTAAAGGTTGAAGCATTTCATTTTTAACTAACAAGCAACGCTAAGGGAAAAAGCATGTAAAAGTGAAATGTTGCAAGCCATAACTTCAAGACGGCTTTGAGTTGGTTGGCGATGGTGGCCAAGGCCGTGGCTGACTTTCCCGGTTGCTGCAGTTCCGCAGCAGTCGCAACCTCCTGCGAGGCGAATGTCTGCAACTCCTGGCCTAGACGGAGGAACTTTTGCCTGTTGTCGACATTAGGGTCGAAGTTACTACTACTCTGAGCAAGGATCTTCTGGAAAGTGTAGGTCGCTGGGCTCCCGCATTGAAGATCTGCTTTGACTTGACCACTCAGGACCATCTTCTTGTCGCCACTGAGCATCAGACGGACTGTCTGCGAACTCGCTGGCGCCCCTCCAACACGGCTTACTATCGTGTATTCGCCAGCAGTACCGCTCGCCTCGTTCTTCTTAAGGTGAAACCGCATGGCTTCGTCATGTTTGTAGTCCGAGGAGGCCTCAAATCGGAGAGAGACTAGAGCTGTGGTTTCGTCTGCTGAAAGAATAGCGGCTACTTTCCCGTCACGAATGTTAGCGCTGACCAGCACGTCTGAGGTGCATCCTTCAATAACTATCAAGCGGAACGGATGCACAAAAACAGTTTAGAAAAATAGAAACTCGACCGCCACCCTCTCGCTACTGAAAGGAAGAACGAGACTAGTAGTAGCGAAGCCTCCCTGTCTGAGGACCATAATACTAAACTTTATCTTTTTCCCCGCAGCCGCTTCCTTCTCCGATAAGCGCTGGCGCTTGCATTGCCCGCAAAAGATCTGGACTGGCTCAGCGGACGCCGAGAAAGACGAAGAAGACAACGAGGCAGAAGACTGAGCAGTTTTCTGCTGCTTCTCCGGTCTACGTTGCCCGGAGGCATCGTCTACCGGTCTCTTTCTCGAAGCAGGAGACTCCGGCATTTTGAAGAATTCTAGATTTGTTAACACTAGTGTCGAGAGAAGAAGCACAAGATCAGAACAACGCAGCTTGAGCCTACACTTGCTTGCGCGACTTACAAAAATCTATTCTATCATGGTGAATGCTACGAGAAGATAACTTTAATTTAATGATTATTTAACTCTATGTAGGTTACAGCGAGCTTCCTATCGTAGACTGGATTTCTTGAAGAACAAGCTTGAGAGCAAATCGGAAGATAGGATCTTTTTTTAATCTCTTACTTAACATACAGGCGAGTCGAACCGCTCAACAACATGGATCCGTCCTTGCTCTATTCCCCTTTTGCCTTGTCATCTTTTCTCAGTTTTTTCGTTTCAAGTCTTCAAGTGAAAATGCGAGCGCGCTTCTTCGAACTACTGTACACGACCGGTGGTGTGTCATGGTAATCCCTCACAGATTGTGACACGACAGCTTCGGCGGAAAAAAATTACATCACAGGAGACCTTTCGTGCACAATCGCAACTCTCTTCCTTTCAGCTTTCGGATTTCGGAAAAAAACTAGAGAAATATCCACTGACCTACTGAACGATAAGACATGGCTCTATCCTCCGAGATTCGTTCGACCCACGCACTTTCGTTGCTCTGCACAACCGCAACGCAAGCTGTGCGGTTTTGTGACATTCCAAAACGCTTGCACAGGGGTACTGAAGAAATTTCCCGCGCTGTGACCGTCACGTTAATCAACCGAAAGAGGGCGTCCGTTCGGTCCCGAGCTTTTACCGTCACATAAACCGATCAGGAGAGGGCTTGTCCACTCTGTCGTCTCTGCAGCAAATATTCACCACTCGCATACCGCAGACTGAGGAGCGTGGTCACTGAGCCCAGCTCCCAGTCTATTATTCTCTTGTTGGCTGTGAACTCTGATCATAGTTGTCATTGAATGTTGCCCGTAATCATCGTTTCATTGCGTTTCAGAAAAACGCGAACGGCACTCTGGGGACGAGAGGACACTCACAATCCTCCATAGTCAAAATCCGTGGATTCATATCATAATTTTCTATCGCTCTCTAAGCTTTAAAGATGGAGTTGACAGCTTGAGGCGCAAACGTCGCGGCGCATATGATACCGGCTCAACGTTTATTCAGAAACGGACATCCTGCTTCCCATCGCGCCTCGAATAAAGACTGATCTTCCATCGGCTGCTGAGCGTCGCGGATGGAGCCATCCTAACTATCCACTGTTGTGGTTGTTGAGTGTGGTACTGTGCTGAGTGTCGCGTGTGTATGCATGTTGTGATCCACCTCGCGACATGATCTTTTACTCTGGATGACGTGGACCGATGAGCATGAGGAAAAGGCTGCTTTACACGTTTCCCAGAGCTGAAGTACATTCGAACTGTATGAGCCCGCATTTGCATGACGTCTACAAAACTTGCGGGATTTTTTCGTTCAGAAACACGTCGGACGGGATGCTGAATGTGATTGGCATGACGCGCCGTATACGCATTTGGGCAGCCCTGGTCGCACATTTCGCTTCGGGAGATAACAGCAAAGTCCAGTTATACTGATTGGATACGACATTTCCCCTTGTTCACAACACGACGATGAAAGAGGACCTCGAGACTTTCACGTGTCTCGCACCTCTGTGTCTTCTGGACATCGTCCTCTGTTCTCATCACGGGGAGAACAGATCAGAGAAACGACCCGGAATTCTTCGCACTCGCTCCAGAAAGAATACGGTCTGCTACATTCCCTCCTCTGATACTGAATAGCGGACGCGTTGTGCTTTTGCTCCTATGGCTTCCCGCGAGGAAGCGGTCCGATTCATCTCAAGCGAATAAAAATGCGTTACCACCGAGTTCTGAATCCACTATGCGCTCTCTCACAATAGATCCGCCTTTCAAGATAGACACTCCTCTACGCTCATCCGCTGCGTGGTTTTCACGGAAAGATGAGCATTTTTCGTCCACTTTGGTGCACCATGCCGGGCGTCGGGAAGATCCTTTAGCGTCGCTCTTAGAGGCATCGGCCGCTTGCGTTTCCGCAAGCCTGCGACACGCCGATCCTCTACAATCCAGCCTTCAGGCCCTGCTCAGCCGCCGATGCAATCACAATTACCCGATGCAAATGGCGTCTCCACAAGCCTGCGACACGCCGATCCTCTACAATCCAGCCTTCAGGCCCTGCTCAGGCTCAGCCGCCGATGCAATCACAATTACCCGATGCAAATGGCGTTTCCGCAAGCCTGCGACACGCCAATCCTCTACAATCCAGCCTTCAGGCCATGCTCAGCCGCCGATGCGATCACGATTCTCCGATGCCGCTTGCGTTTCCGCAAGCCTGCGACACGCCAATCCTCTACAATGCAGCCTTCAGGCCCTGCTCAGCCGCCGATGCGATCACAATTCTCCGATGCCGCTTGCGTTTCCGCAAGCCTGCGACACGCCAATCCTCTACAATCCAGACTTCAGGCTCTGCTCAGCCGCCGATGGAATCACAATTCTCTTTTCTTTTCCAAGAATAAGAAGATATCGCACTTCAATGTCAACTGTTCTCCGAGTTTCTTGCAGTATCATCTCTACCCTCAGCCGACTGCAAACATTCCGAATGCATCCCAGAGTCATAGTGCTGGCAGTTTTCCTCCATACTCCGCGCTTGTTGTAATATTCCTTCCCCACATAGAGTGCTCACATCCATATTTTCCTCTGGAAATTCGTTGCGGTGTAAGAGAGTCGGTAAGGTGACTGATCCCATTTGAGGGGAAGAGACTCCAGCTAGATCCCACTTCTTCTGCCTCCATCCCAAGCCAGGAAAGCACAGTGAGAGCAAACATGGTCTGATATAGGAGAATATCTACTTCCCTTTGGCTGCTGCTCCGCGCGACAAGGATATGTTGACGAGGATTGTAGATGACTGCTCTTTTCAGTGATTTACGACCTAGGTGGAGCGACAAGCAAGTGGATCAGTAGTGTTTTAGGAATTGATAGGTTTGACTTCAGCGGCAGTGCCTCAGTGGAAGGGCACACCACGAAGTCAGTGATGTGAACATCATAAGTAGTTACTGTGCAGAGAGAGGACCCTCTGCTGATCTCATAGTAATAGTTGTTGTCGAACACATCAGAGTGAGCTGGGTAAACGGAGTGGAATCAAAGGCTCGCGCCTCATGAGACCATCGTGAGAAACGTTGCTTTTCATCACTTGAAAAAATTGTACTCGAGAACCTATGCCTATCGACGAGAGCATCGTCCGAATGAGGATGAAAGAGGTGTAAGCTAGGCGACTGACGCCACGCGCCACAGAGAGACCAAAAACTGGTCAGGAAGGCCGAGACGCTAATTAACCGCAATTTTCCCTCTTGCCACAACACCAGAAAGTCGCTAGTTCCCATAGTAGGTGGAAACTGCGAGGCAAAGGGTGGCATCATAAACTTCTGATCCGCCGCGGGAACAACTACGCAGTCGCGTTACCTGCACTAGAATCAATTATAGATTATCGCAGTGATGAAGGAATATCTGCTTGTTTCTACGTCATTGTGCGCAGCTGTCAGACAAATGCCTCGAGTGTGTCGTCAGATGTGGTGGGTCACGACCAGCACAGAACGCGCCAATCACGACCCGAAGTCCGACATCTAATTAGTTTTTGAATGGGTGTCATCATGCTCAGATTGTCGTAGATCTTTTTGATGGAATATGCGTAAATTCTAGAGCGATGGATTGTTCTATGACCTTGGTGTTGGTCGCGCTACACGTAGTAGTGTCTTCTATAAGATCTGTCCCGTCAGCCAAATGCCTCGATTTTTTCGGTCATGAAAGGCAGGCAGACAAGGCAAAACGCCTCATCCGCCGCACGTCCGACTCGTCATCTATATTGTAATGGCTCATCATGCGAGAGAATTGCGACGAAGTGATAGAAACAGGGATCTTCACAAACAGAGAGACTTCTCAACAGGATCAGAGAGATCACCAAGGGTGGGTATCATCACGCGAAGACAGTAATGTAAAGACTACACTACCGTCTAGATGTCAGCTGACACGCATGAATGTAAGAATGAGTCTCATCCTTCTGTTGAGCTGTGCGCTTCTGCTTCTCTCTCATGAGGTGTTGCTGTTTCATGCCCTTCTACTTCTCTTTCACGATCGTAGAAGTAGATCTTTTTGGCGCTCAATATAAGTACTATAAATTGCTGGCAGTGATGAAATATCACAGGATTTTCAGAAAGGAACGTGAGTATTTGTCAGCTCATCCAGGTTCGGAAAAAGCCAATATACAATTTCATCCTTGTAAATCTGTGATCTAGTCGTGCTTTCGGAGTGACATTCTGAGATCCAACAACTCTTTCGTAGGATCTTCACAAGCATTCGAGGAATACCAATACAAATAGTCATACTAAGGACGGCACAAACCCCCTGCTCCTCAGTAGATGCGCGCGCAGCATGAACACAGACACGCGTGGAAGACTGCTTTCGCTTTCCTGCTTTTGCTACGCATGGCATCACTCTGTCAAGGAACAACTCATACGCGAAGTACTCACGACAGTCAAATAACGCTACGGGCTGTTATCTACTAGGATTGTGTGCGCTCCACCGTCCTTGTGGAAGTCAAGTGCACTTTTTTCCACAGAGACAAACCCCACACCTCAAAAGAAGTACTTTGAGTCGCCATTTTTCTCATCTTTGCTGCTCTCCTTGCTTCCTTTGCTCCTCTTCTTCTTTTTCTTCTTCCGAGATCCGAACTTCGGTGGAAACTCTGGCAATGGCGGCCCAGGCCCAGGATGACTCTTTCTACTACTGGAAGGCACTGGCGGAAGCTCGCCGCTCTTTGTTGCTGCGGGAATCGAGATGCGACACTTACCTCCTTCGTCTATGTCAAGTGTCGTTGAAGGTGGGCGAGGAGGTGACCCAGCGGACGCTGTGGAAGGAGATGCTGACGATGCCGGCGAACATGATGATGGGCCATGGCAAGCAGTAGATGACTGAGAAATGGCGAAAGCTTCACCAGGCGACGTGGTCTTCTTGGTCTCCTCCACTATTTTCACAGCCTCTTCAGTTTCTTCTAGTGCACCTCCACTGCCGGGTGAAGCTGGATTCATCGGGGCTATTGCGTGGCTGCTCGAAGAATCCGCTTCGGCGCCAGGGACTTCCTTCATCTCAGACCTTGATGAGGGAGCAAACATTGCCTCGAATTTTCTCTCTGTAGGAGTTGTCTCTTCATCCGCCTCGCTATCTAGCGCCGCGGCTCCCCCCTGTATTGCGGGCAAGGCACCTTCTACCGCGTCGATAGTGAAGCTAACGCTCTTCCCAACATCGCCCTCGGATCTACTGCTTTTGATGTATTCATCTTCCTTGTCAGCTTCCCTCGTCTCTCGAGCTTCGGCGTCACAATTGCTCGCGTCGTTATTCACAGAAGTCTTGCTGTCTCCTCCATCAAGTTCTCCTTCACCCTGCGCAAGCCTTACTTCGTTTTCTCCATCCCCATTCGCGACAGCGTCTTCTTCTTCACGTTTGCCGCTCCCTATCTCGGTCTCCTCCACGACGACTGGACTGCCTTCTCCCAGAGGAGGTGATAACTTCATCTGAAAGTGATCCTCGACGATAAAGCACTGTAAAGGCGATTGTGGGGTCGAACAGGGCGAGTGACTCGCTCCCTGAAGCTTCACTTCATCATCTGTAGGTGTGCCATTGGCATGATTTTCCTCTTCTTTCGTCGCCAGCGGCCTTGCCATATCGTCTTCTTCGTCCAGGGGGATGTCCTGCATGAACGACGATAGAGACAGTAAGGACTCGCCTGCTTCAGAATCTGTGACGGTCGTCGCCTGCGGCAACTCGCTCCACGAAGCGTGTGGTATTTCAGCTTTCGTCGTGCCAGCACTTGCGGTGTAAGGTGGCTGTGCCGCATCTGCGTCGATCTTGCTCACTGCTACGTCTAGCTTTGTGACACAGCTGTCATTCCCGTCCTTCGAGGCCTCAGAGGCTGCTACATCAGTTTCTTCGGTTTCTTCACACTTCGCTGACGCTTCAGTCTTTTCGTCTGCGTCGGCAGTACGAGAAAGCGCCCTTCGCTTATTTTCTGCGTTGCCTGCAACTTCTTCAGTAGGTGACTCCGACTCGGCTTCTGCCACATTCTCAAACGATGATACACGTTCAGGAATGGAAGCGGTATAGCCGTCGTTGCTGCTGACCGTCGTATCTGATGCAGAGGGACCTGTGGCGCTCGCTGCGGTTTTGGCACGTTGCTCTGAAAATGCAGTTTGCTTCTCATCGAACTCAGCACTGCTTCCCCCGTGTTGGGACAACCTAGCATCATCATTCCCTTCTTGATGACCGCTTAGTACTTCTGCTGAAGCATCTGCCTCTGGCCCCCTTTCTGTCGATGCAGCAGCATCACTTGCTGCACATCGACTACCTTCTTCGGAGGTGTCCTCGGGTGCCTCATCAGCACGAATGCTGCTTGGAGCCGCATCAACTTGATGATCGTCGTCACGCTTCGCCGCTCCTCCTGCCTCCTTTTTATCTGGCGAAGACGAGGAGGTTGCGGCGCTTGCGTTGGCACCACCATTCTGCTTCTCTCCATTATCATCCTGCTGTCGCAGTGGCGTTGCCGTCAAACCCTGTTGAAGCTCGTCTAACCTCACGTAGTACCGATCAGCATCATCGTCTTCCGACGTCTCGGAACAGGAGGATGTTTCCGAACAGGATGAAACGTCGGACGATTCCTCACCTTCGCCGTCGAAAGCACCTGCGCGTATCCGCGATGAAGATGTTCCACTACCCTGCGCAGTCATCGTACTAGGCGCGCGCACACCAGGTGTGCCAGTGCTCCCTTCAGAGGAGCGGCTCTGCTCACTCAGTACCGCCTCGCCGACTTCTGCACCCTGCTGCTTTTTGCCATCTTCTGCATCTGCATCACCATCTGTATTTCCCTTTCGGTTACTACTCTCCTTGATATCCTCCTCCTCCTCGTCGTCGTCGTCCGCAAACAGCTTTCCGTCACTATCGTCGTCAAACTCTACGATGTCTGCATCATCCAGCAACGCTTTTATTTGCTTCAGCAACAAGGGGAATTCCGTCACTGCTGCTTCGGCTTCGGCGTCGTCAAGCTCAAGACAGTCGTCATCTCGATCTCCAGTGTCTTCACCTGATCCCGCCTTTCTTCCCGGACCTTCCGAGTCTGATCCTGTTGACTTGTCGCTCTTATTCTCATCCGATGAGGCATCGTCGCCAGTACTGGGTTCAGAGTCCGTAGAGGTTCTGTTGCTCTTCGAAACGGCTGATGTTACGCCGCCCTTCTTGTCCACCTCAGCGGTTCCACTACACGATGTTTTCTCGCTTGAAGACACGCCTGTGCCACCCAGTCCTGCCTCCTTGGCTAGTAGCGCCGTCGCCGCCATTGCGGATGGGATCGACCTCACCCCAGCAGCACGCGTTCCAGTACCCCTACGCATTGGAGATGAGTTTTGATTGTACTGCATAATGCGCGACTTCTTCCACAGATCCTCGTCGCTCCATGCTTCCGCCCGCTTCTTCGCCTGCTGCGGCTGGACATGAACGAGAAAAACATCATGAAAACACAAATCACGTACTTACTTGGTCTACCAAAGACAGGCATGCTTGGCTCTCGGTAGTTTCGTCATCCGACTCTCTGGGCATCCTTCTACATCAACCATGCCCTTAAGTTACTGTGTTGCCATCGTCGCCTGCGCCGACTCGCAAACCGGGGAAGACATCAGACGCAACGGGGCAAGCACCGAAGACATTAAAAAACATCTTCGCTGGATCAGCGGATGTTAACTCGAGTACGGACGCGGTATTCCCGAATCCGGATTAGAACAGCACAAAAAAGATGCTTTTAGTACAAGGGGGATGATTCAAACTCATGTGAAGAGGGAAAAATTGAATTGCGGACAAGTGCTATCGGCACTTATGGGCTATGGTTTGAATATCGAGTCTTTTCCATAACGATAGCAGTAGTTCGGTGCCGACCACACAGTCGACAACTGATCGTCAAAAAGAACCTGGTAGCCTTGCATGCATAGCTGATGCGCACGAACGATATGGTCCATACCGTTTAAGTGCAAAAAGCGCTCCGCCACATCTTGCCCGAAAATGTAGCCGGCACCTGACATGATTCATCAGATAAAAGTTCATGTGTTGAAGAACTGTTCTGGTGCCAAAATGTTCTTCTAGTTGTACACTCGAACTCGTGCACTACAACTAAATCCGGGAAAATTCCGTGTTGAAAAAAAAGACCATGGTACTATCTGTAAACCATATAGAAGATACCTCTCGGCGAAACGACAAATCCAGTCTTTTCTTGATCCGGGTCCGACCACATCAGGTCTGAAAGCGGTCCTTCGTGCGGAATTTCGCTAAAACGGTCTAGAACCCGGATTTGATCCAAATGCTGGATAGATGGAGACAAGCCTCCATGCGTCGCGAAAAAGACGTTCTCTGTGACGTAAGAAGTTGTGAGGAAAAGGTGCACCGCTCTTGTAGTAAAAGATGGGGAAACGCGTGCTCGCTAAACATGCTCAGTAAAGAGAAATAGAAATACGACAAGGACACCAGTTTTCATCTACTTAATAAATTCTTCATGTGTACCAACTGGTAAAAGAATCTGTCGCTTCTCGTGCTGGATCAAGAAGCCTGAAACTAAATGTTTCGCAAGAAGTAAAAATAGAAGGACTGGCAAAGACAATACCGACATTGCAGCTGATCGGCAAGAAGTCGAACAAGTCTGTGAAACTCGCCCACACCTCTCGACCAGTTGCTTGCCCATACTTCTTCTGACACTCGGCGTAAAAGCCATGAACTGAATGGAGCTACTGATTGAGTGTGTCTACCTGGGAATGTCGACTCTTTCCCTTCGTCCTCAGGTGGAAACTCTTGGAAGGGGTACGAGTCGATATCCCCAGTCATTCGTTCTCAATCAGTGCATCCATATATAAACCTGGGTAATTTGCCTCGTCTCATGGTTGCCGCGCAGCAACGTGACACGCGACGGATACTTCAGCTTCAGCGCACATATTATAAAGGAAAAGGAGTAATAGATGGATGAGTGTTCTTTGAATCGTCTAAGCAGTTTACGGTGGGCTACATTTCATGGGTCCGCTTCCCTGAGTGAGACAGACAGCTATGTTGTGCCATTGATCACCTGCAGCTCGAACTCTATACCTCCTGCCCTCAAACAACTTGTTTCTATTCCACAAGCCAAAAAACGCAACACTAACAATCTTCCTCTTGTTCATCTTCCGTCAAGAGCAACACAGTACTTCTACTTTCGTAAGGTAAGCAATGTGATCGTTTCGCAAGAGCAGTTTCCTCGATCGACGTAATCGCCTAGGAAGAGGTAGTTCGAAGTCGGGCAGTAGCCGCCGATGCGAAAGAGCTCTACGACATCGTAAACTTGCCCATGCACGTCGCCGACCACCGTTACTGGTGCATGTACGTACTTCACATTACTCTCGTCTAACAAGAGCTCAGGGATTAGATGCTAGTCAGTACTTCAAGCGCCATAGGGAGGACTAGCTTGTTTCTAAAAAAATAGGTTGTACTATCTTCACAAGTACAAGAACTGTTTGAGTGAGTTTGGGTGTTCGTGATCCAATGAACATGAAACTAGGTAGTAGTGCTAGTATTACTAACAAACAGCTATACTGCAACATTTGGCGATGTGTGTTCAAACTTCTTGCAAGACCCTCGTCCATATCTTGACTTTTTCGCACATGGAACGGATTGCCAAATCATGCAGCAGCGGTAGTGTGCTCTTTCCCTTTGGTTCACCTCGAAATTCAGCCAAGTGGATCTTGTCAAACCACTCATCGACGCGGAGGATCAGCGGTTGATCCGATGGACTGACTTTCGCAGTGGACGCCATCATTTATCGATTGTGCTATCAGTGGGTATAACTAGAGGCTCATGCTCAGTGCTCTTTGCTGACCATGTGCCTGATAATTGCGCCTAGAAGTCGGTTTTTGTCTGGTGGTTCTAGGGAAATTGACCTTTTTAACTCTAGCTAGACAAGTCGTGGTCTCCTCGCAATCCAATGCAATGCAACTTCCGTTCCCAACATTCAAGAGAAGATAACAGAAACAAATGTTCCCCATTTTTTCACCTTTTTCTTGTTTTCGCCGTTGCGCAGACAAATTTTTCAACGCCTTTTTCTGCATCTGCACCTGTGCATTTTCCATTTTCTCGGAAACTCCGGTGCAAGCAGCCCCTGGCGGTCGTCCTCGTTGACGGTCTAAGCACTCGCGGTCTTTTCTCTCCAAGCTCTTCTCCCTCTACCTACAGCCACTCGCTTGTCGTCGTACTCTAGTAAAATGAATAACAGTTAAAATCTTGCTCTTCGCGGACACAACAGATTCCAGTAGAGCCCTGGTACTAACTAGAACATAAGTAAACAACGTGCCGGTCTTAGCAAAACCAGCGGCTGTGTGTACATGCAAGGCTGCTGTATCTTTTCGTTGTACATTTTCTGCTTCGCGGCTAAGAAGCTTGCATAGAAATGAGCGCTAGGTCTTCACAGTCATCTGCGTCATGTGAAAATGAAAAACAAATGGAAGGTATTCATCCTGACACTTTGTTCTACCTCTTCCAAGCTCTATTTCTATTACTTAGCAGTAGAATTAAGTAGTTTCTATCCCTAGTACTGCTGGATTCTATTTCAACGAAAAAAAGTTCATTTTGACATCATCCGTATGGAGAAGCAAATTGGTGCGCGATGAGAAAGGACAGGCTCTGCGTCATGGACGAAACGAAAATTCTGATGCGTAAAAATGACTAGTGGGTGGAAGGGGCGCAAATTAATCGGCGGAAGATGCACCGCTGTACAGCAACTGTGACTGGTGACTGACTGACCGACATTTCTGATCAATTGTGGCTGTGCCAGAAATATTTAGTATCATCTTCACCAAGAATGATTATAGGCGAAAAGAACAAAGAACGACTAAGGTTGTATCTACAAGACGTACATAAAAGAACTCGTGGTCCGTCGCCGTCCAGAACCCAATGTTTATGAGTCAAAAAAGAGTTCATGCCGGTCACGGGATCGGGAAAGTCTAAAAATCTTTCATTATTCCACTTTTCCACCGTCAGCGAGCACGCAAAACAAATCTGGAGGCAACGGCTCCCAGCAGTCCGGATGAGGGCAAATGAGAGGTCCGCGATTTTCAAAGACGTACTTCTTGAGACAACCATGGCACGCGCCGTGAGGACAGTTGATGAACGGCTCGATCACACTGTCACTCTTTTCATGGCTTTTGTTTTGACTGCTGCCGTTGTCGTCTGGTATTTCTCTACAGAGCAAAGCAACTCCGCGACGCCCATCTTTAGTAGAAGATGAAACCACTTGTAGTTGTTGTTCGTCACTATTTATATCATGTACGTCTGATGCTGTTGTCTGCGCGGAAGTTAAATCCTGGAGCTTTCGATCTGCTATTTTCAAACGCATCGAAATTCCCCCACTTCCACCAGATTGATTTCCTGCTTGTTCTACTTCTTCGACATCACATATAATATTTCGTCTCTTCGGTGCTTGTCGACCACACATGCAGCATGTGCCTGGTGCATCTCCAGGCTTCAGCGAGGCTACACGCGTCAGACTGTCCCAATGATGCTCTGCTGCGTCGCTGCCAAGGTAGACAATCCCGCTCCACTTGCAAATAACAAAGACTCCGTGAGCGACAGCGAAACCTGGAGTTTGATTTTGAAAATTGTACCTATAGGTATAGTAGATGAATACTACATGATGTAGTCTACATCGTCATCGCTATCGATCGTCTGCTCCCGATTGGAAGTAGCTCGTAATCAATAGATAATGAGTTCCTTGATGTGTCTACTTCAGAATGAATTTGTTACTCCATTTGCACAATAGACTTGCTCTGTGAGTCATAGCCTTACCGAGTGCCCCTCCTGCAAGGTAGCCTCCGAGATGCCAGATTGCTGAGACGCCTGTCGCTGTCCCTCCGAGCGCCCATAGTTGTCGACTCTTTTTCTCGCCGATAACAGCCCAGGATGCAAAGTGCTCGCAGTTGTTGTAGATTCCGTGAAATCCTTTTTTCCCCACCATGTGGACGCATCTTTCGGTGGTTCGACTTTTCGACAAACGTTGCTTATGTGGCCACAGGTAGACGCGGCGCTTCCCCGTAGTGCCCCCATAAGCGAACGATGCGAGGTCTTCGGCCACCACGCCTCTGCCGCGCTCAAAGTGCGCAACCATTGCGTCGCCGAGGAAATCGCGCTCGCCGACGCAGACTCCGTGATGCTCCGGCAGTCCTAACAAGGGTTTGCTCGAGGAGGATGACGATCCGGACGTTCCCGACGCTGCAGCAGCGGATGCGCGATCCTTCTTGTTCTTTCTTTTCTTGCTCCGTCGACCACTGCCTGCATCTCCTGCGTCTTGTGCATCATCCGACGTACTAACAGATGAAGTAGTAGAGCCCTGGTCCTGCTGCTGGTGCGAGGTCTCTAGTTGATCCTGAAGCGCTCCTTGCCCTTCCTCACTCGACGTCGCTGGAGTACTGCCACAACAGACATCCCAGCGGAGCAGGTGGTCGCCTTTCTCAGGGTTCAAGACCAGAATCCATCCGTGACCAAAACCAGCATCCGCTGCGTGATCTGCTGCTTCCTGCTCGCTGAAAAGATAAGTTCCGCATTTTTCGCACTGGTACCTTGGCTCGTTGTGCGACACGCATGACAGTCCTGGTGTCGCGAACCTCGAAAGCGAAGTCGAACAAGCTGTCGTCGAAGAGGTAGTAGAGTCAGCAGGAGAAGGATAGCCGTGGGCATCCACTGATCTGCATAGACGGAGCTGCCCACGCGTTATGAAAGCCGATTTTGTACTGAAGCCGGTTGACGATGATGACGCACTGCTTCCGTCCTCATAATTATTGCCCAGTGTTGTAGTATTACTCGGCAGAGCAACAACATCAATCCGACTGTCTCGAGCAGCTATCATGGCTGGTAAACCTGCAAGTACTACACTATTTTCCGCGTAGTTGCTCATCGGTGTAGGTGTCGCTTGCGAAGAAGCGTCGACTAATGTAAGATCATTTTCATCGGGGTAAATAGCCGAGCGCTCGTCGTCGGTCAACGGCGCCGCGGTCGACGGTGAGTTGGAACCAGACTTGTCGAAAAACATCTTTCCCATGTTCTTGTGATCTCAAGCGAAAGTGGTAAGTTATCAAAAATACAACTTATCGGGTTCGGACTCGGAGGGGTCAATATCGAGCTGATAGCAAAATGTGAATAGAAAACTCACTACATGTACTTGGTACTTCAGCTAGTTATCGTTCTACCTTGGAAGATTCAGCATTCAGGAGTTCTTTTTTCTTCGTCATAGCATTGAGTTTTCACTCTTGTTTTCTATGAAAATTATCAAAATTTTTAAGTTCCGAAAAGCAGCGAGTTGGTCTAGCCACAGCTGAGTCAAGAACCACGGATGAAATTGTGTTTGTACCGAGTAACGAGGACGAAACGATAGGTACAACCACTATGCTACGGAGTTTTACAACTAGTTAATTTTACTGCAACACCCGAGTCGTTTCATCTTGGATAGTCGAGCAACCGAATACGAATACTACAAAAAAACCTTCCGGAACACACGAAAGGTACGATACGATGCCAAAGAAGAAATTGGCACTACCTCTAATACTCAAGTGGAGCAGCTGAGGTAACAAGTACGCGATGTAGGCGACGGCGAAGATACTGTAAAGAACTACCTTTGAGTTTTGGCGCACGTTCTTGTTGAGCGTTCTTACGATAGCTCTTTCGATAGATTTACACTTTCCCAAGGTTAAATCTAAAAGTTCGAATTGAGCATCTTTGCGCAGATACCAAGTACTGTGAGTAGAACGAGGAAGAGAACCATTTTGCATATGAAATCGGAATTTCGCTCTTGCTGTAGTATGTGCTTTATTTTCCCGCTCATTGTGCCAACGTCCGCATCCGCTTTGTCAACCTTCTTGACAATGTCGTTGGCCATGACGCCTTGTCGCTGCGCGGTTTCCTGTAAGCAGTAGGGGTAGGTTAGAATATCATCGGGTGCTGCGTGTTGAAATGTCTCAATTACGAATCTGATCCTTCTACATCTCGATGAGAAATCTACGAGTACGAGTACAACTAGGAGTTGCTAGAAGACTTAGGAGTACGCCTATCTGCGCGACAAGAGGGTTCAATCGGTCGCAAACTACGCCTATTTGGTCGAGCATGGCATCGAAATTTGCGTCTCGATCTTTCCATCTTTGAATTGCCTCTTGTTCGTTTTCGTTCAAATCCCTACCAGCTTTAGAAGTAGGGTCTTGGTGTTTCTCTTCCCCGGTACTTATGCTCTCTCCCCGTAGGAGAGTCAAACCGAACGGTAACAGAAGCGCCAAAAAACTACCCTTAACAGTTTTATCCCGTTCAAAGCCGTGGATTAGCTGCCTCGTTCCGCGTCCTCCGTCTTGCCCGCTTCCGCCTGCGAAAATGTCCGCTTCCTCGTCATCGTCTAGGAACAGAGAATGAAAGCGGAGGTGGACAAGAATAACTTTTGATGAAGAATAGGGAAGCGGAAAACGTCAGAACTGTCCATTTTTTATAATATAGGAGTCTTTCCTAGTCCTACCGTGCTGACAGACACAACGACAACATGAACATTTTTCTACATGTAGCGGAATCTACTTTAGCGATTTTCCATACGTCTCAGCGCCGTACTTTTGAGCTGCCGAAGAGGAACTTGCGGCAGCACCAACGTCCGTATTTGAACTAATCGCAATTTTTGCTTCCTCCAGTTGCCGGAATTCTTAGAGCTAGGAGGTTCTTACAGCTCAAATACTTCGACTTCAATAATTACAAATTGCCGACGTTCATTAAATTCTATGTTGTTCGACCATTTTTTCAGAACAAATATAACTTACGAGCACTTAGATTTATTTACCTATACTCGCATCGAAGGGTGACTACAGGTTTAAGTTTGCCACAAGCGCTTTCTTCGTTGTGATTGCCGTTCACTACAACTTGCAGCACATGCACTTTCCTCGTTACCATAACAGATGTTTCGAATATCTTGTACGCGGAGATCGATTTCTTCTGGGTTAAGACGTTTCTGCCTAGCCTGTCGCATCTGAATCTGTTGGAGCTTGGGCAAGAGTTTTTCAATCTCCGCAATCATTTCTCTTATTCGCACCGCTTTTTCAATCGCTTGATAGTTATTCCCGTGTTTCTGCGTTATCTTGAGGCGCTCGCGGATGTTCACACGAGGGATTAGAAAAAACGTCTTTGATGTATTCAAATTGTTTGAAGCTAATTTGTTTTTCTGCTTAAGTTAGATAGTTTGGCAAATCCAGGGTCCTCGCATTGCATCGTTCAGGAGAAGAACAAAAATAGAACTCCAACTACGACTTTTCTCATCGTGGTTCAGAAAAACAATATCCATCGGAATACGAGTCCAAGAACGACTTTCTTGATCTTATCTACAAAATATACACGTAGTCCAATGACTTCCATTTTGTTTTGTGATCATAACAAAATATGCAGCATTCCGTATATTGATGTCTTCATTACTTCGAAGTCATCCCTTGGCGCCTTTTTCTTCGTCAACTCATCAGGTCTTTCACCACACTCGACTTGAATCTCTTCGAGTCGAGAAATAAGACCCTGGATCCCAGGGAGCAGGGACGGCGGAGCGGCACTCATTTTTTGTGAAGGCTGAATTTGCTAGTAAACAATCTAGGTAGTTGTAGGAGATGTAGATGATGCACTAACCAAATTAAGAATGCGAAGGTGAAATTTAGGCTGAAACTTTCTCATTTCTATGTATCAGGGGAAAGGCTTCAAGCTCAAAAATAAAGGCGTCAATTTTTTTGGCTTCATAAGGTGAAGCAAGATCATCTATATAAGTATGAATTACTTCTAAGTAATATCAGGAGTAGGATTGAAATTGAGCTTGAAGTTGTCGCGCGAACAAGTAATGGTTGGAATCTGTATCTCTTCTTGAACGAGAATGCAGCAAGTGATGCCAGTGTATGCAACGAACTGGCGGATAAAGATGCCTTTCGAACTATGGCTTTACCACTGCGATCAGCTTTGGAGGTTTCACTAAATTGCCAATGTAATTGGGGTATTCCAAGTTTCCAAGGCGCCCTCAAGCTGGTTTAAGCCAAACTTATGCCTGGAGGAATGTACATTTACATACTGCGTCTTCGGCATCAGAGACTACAACGGTGTTGATTTTTTAGATTCCGAGTATGTATCGACTACAGTAGAAAGGCCAATGTACCAGCTGCAGGGATCTTCGTAGTTCTAGTGGGAGGCACGGTTCGCACTGTAAGCTATTGGTAATGTCTTTCACTTGTTTCTCCTTCATCATCAATGGCATCTTTAGCCACCTGCAGCACCCGCAAGCGTGGAGGACGTAGATGTCTTATCGCTGTTGCTGTGGTCTAAGACGAGGGTCGTAATCTGTTCACGCATTTCCCTGACAGACTGCTGCAACGATCGCACCTCTTTGCGGCTGCTAAGCGTTTCTCGCGCCGCATACTCGCGCATTACCTTAAAGAGAAAAACGCCCGTGCTCCACATCAAGGTAAAACGTTTAACATCCTCAGCCCCACTAAATCAAAGAAAACAAGCACCGCACCACAGCCAGTGGTAGCGAAAACACACGAGAAACAGAAAACTACCCAAGCAACGAAAAACAAAAAGCGCACAGACAGAACTACAGACTCCCACGCGCCACGCTTCGTTCCCCTTCCCCTTCCTTTTATACTTTTTCACGATGAAGGCGCGCGGGCGCACTCGTCCGCCTGTTTTCTTGCTGCTCCTTGCTCAAAGTCCGCAGCCCTGCCTTGCTCCAACCGCCTTTCCACTTTGGCGCACTGGGTCTGCGCAACTAATAAGCGGCAGCCCGGACACGCTGTGCCGAGATAGATTGGCCGGCCGCGATAGCGCTTCAGCGATTAGGCGGCCGGGCCTCGCGTCACTTCCCGCCCGCCCCCGCTCTGCGGTCTGGTGCCTAGGGACGTCCGGAGCCGTTCAAAAGATCGAAAAGAAGGTGATGGATGCATATTCTTTAGCAATGAATCGAAACAAAAATAGAGTACAGCCTGCTGGGTGGCGAGTTTCATGGCGTCCAATCGGGAACACGGTTGCGAGCTCGGAAAAGTCAAGCGATGACATTTTGGTATCTTTTGCAGAGCCGTCGTTGGAGTGTGCGCTTCAACGAAGGAGTATTTGGCTTCGCGGTCAGTCGCTCGAAGATATTCTGGCACGGGTTGCCGCAGCGGCCCATCAGTGACTATGAGTTGATGGCTGCCATTGATGTCTTCTGAGCTCCTCATGTATGCGTTTGTGTGTGGTGGGGACTTGGCATGCGCACTTTCATCGCTGACCACGGCGCTTGTCGACGCGTCCTCGCGGCCTACCTCTTGTTTTGGAATATCCGCTACCGGGACCAGCTCAATATGCACGCAACGACCGTCAAGTTCGTACTTTCCAGGACGCAGGCGCTCCAAGGTCATATACAAGTCACGCAATTCAGGCTCTGCAACGTTCAGGAGCTCAGCCAGAGCTCGATCGATGTCATCGTCAGGAAATGGGGTGTGCTCATGCGCTCGAGGAACAAAGGGGTGTGGTCGAGTGTACAATCCGAGCCCCTGATTACTCTTTGGCAAAATTTCCGAGCCAAGAGCAGATGCCGTCGCAGTTGATGAAGACGACGATTGATGTGCGGCTGTCACTACGGAGCTGACGGGAAGCGCGGCCTCACTTTCGGCAGAGCCGCTAGTCACTGTCGAATTTCTGCCAGCTGACGTGTCTGCTCGTTCTCTGTCGCAAGCTACAACGAGCCCTGGCTGGTCGAATTGTGCTGCTCGCTCGCCCCTTGTAGGTATCCCCGGTAGAGGTGGCGGACGCGGCGGGATCCTCTGGGGAGGCTTGTAAACCTGTCTCCCATGATGCGGGAGTTTGCTGGGAGGTGAGCCGCCTCTGGACGAGCAGCCTCTCAACGACTTTTCAAGTGTCTTGTCTGTACAATCATATCTTTGCCGTTCTCCACGAAGATGCGACGAAGAGCAAGTGAGAAGCGTTGGACTGCAGTTGCCAAATTTCTTGCTGAGTTCGTCTTTAGCTTCTCTTCTCTCGACAACGACACCCAGTCGCGGAAAAGGGCCAGAAGAACCGCCTGTTGTCGCACTTTCGGATCTCTGGAAGCGCTCAATACAGCTACTGAGTCTTTTTCCATCACTTGCTCGCGGAGGAGTCTCCAAAGCGAGCCAGTGGCGCGCGCTACCACCGGAAAAACGCAGCGCAGTTACGGGAACGCACAAAGTGGCAATAGCATGATCTTTTCGGTACAGACAGAGAAAGAAAATAAGTTGTTGTCCGGTCTTTGTCCCTGCTTTACTCGGGAAGCGTCCCAGCTGTTCTGCATCTTCTAGACTCAAATCGTCTAAGATCTTGTCCAAGTCGGTAAATCTGCAACAAGGCTCTGCGCCTCTGCTCTCGTTGAGAAAGAGTTGCTTTCTCATGCGATGAAGCACCACAGAAGATGACGCGTCGTAGTTCTTCTCTTTTCCCTCCTCGAGTTGTACGATGCTCAGCTCTACTTCCAGGACGTCCGATAGACCAGTAGGTGTGGGAAAATCTGCTTCCCCTACTATGGATACCGTGGATAACTCAGAACTACTTCCCAATGATGCTCGAGCAGATGAGGCATGGCGAATATTGACGGCATCGTCTGTCGTAAAAGCTGCTTCTTTAGACGAAAAGGTCTGCAATGCGACGAGGGCCTGAGCGCGGTCACGATGCGAAGTTTTCTCTAGTACTTCGTTGTTGTGGTGTATTATCCTCTCCTTGGCTCCTGCTTCATTAGTATCGATCTTCGCTTCTTCATCTTCGCAGGAGTGGGAGGTCGATGCTGTGATAGATGCGTCAAATTTGACCCAATCGCGAAACCAAGGTGCCTTTCGAAGGTACGTTCTGAGATCTAGCGTGAGCGAGTGCAGCGGAGCAGGTATCTGAGCAAAGTACTCGTCAGGAGGATATACCCAAAATGTTAGTCTCGCAGACGCCGAAAGGCCAGAACTAGGAAGTTGGAGTCTAAATTCGGAGGGTCGATCTCGCACTATTTGCTTTCGCACAGCAGGATCTGCGCCGTCAACAGCAGAGAAATCACCTTCGCGACCAGACAAAAGGATCTGCGGCGTGAGTATCGATTATGGTGGACAAGTTCTTGAAAATCACAAAAGCAAAAAAACGTTACCGCTGGTGTCCATAAGAATGAAATTATCCAGTGAAGAATAACCCAAGTCACGTAGTAACAAACTATGAGGTCTCTGAGTTGTATCATCATCGTCTATATAATATCAGTATGCACTTGTACTACTTGAGGATAAAGTACGAAAAAGCATATTTTCAAGAGCAGTCAATGTAGTACTACCTCAACGAAGGCCCGTCGATCTGCAAGCTCGTTCCAGGTAAGTATTTTTTCGGCGAAAAAACTAGAGACGTCTAGCAGAGTGATCTGGATTGCATCCGGTTCGAGTCGCTGGAGGTGAAGGCTGCTTGCAGATTTTGCATTTTTACTAGTACCATTTTTTAGATTCGAGGTAGATAGTGAGGAAGAAGAGGAACAAGTTCTGGTCGTTGTGAAAGATGTCGTTCGTGGCTTCGCCGGTGCCGTAGAGGATGATGACGATGGCCACCACGATGCTGTGTTGTTCATCTCTCGACCTCGAATTGAATCTGTGATATCTTCATCAGGGAAGATTTCAACCGCGTTCTTCTCTGGTACTGTTTTCCTCGTTATCGTGGCTGTGGATATGGAGTCCTTGGAATCTCTCGTCGATGCACCACCAAGACGTGGTGGACGAAGCAAAGACGAAGCACTAGGTAGGGCCAAAGTTGGCGCAATTGCTTCGAGCTTATCTCGGACGAAATCGAAGGCTTTTGCGGCCAAAATGTTAGGCGTAGTCTTTGCCCAAGGACCACTGTGTCCAAACACGTTGAAGGTTGTTCTAGGCGCATCAAAGCTCATGCTCGATGCAGCACGCACAGGCCGACGCGGAGGAGACAGCAACTCTTCGCTTTGACGAGGTTGTTTCTCTACTCCTCCTCCTCCTCCGATTCTTATCCACTGCTTCTCATTCGTGCCACCTCCTCCGCTTCCGATGCTCCTTCTCCTAGGAGGTGGTCTGGGTGGAAGACCATAGTCCATCGTATTTGGCCCTCCTGGACGAACATAGAAGCCGGGACGAGGAGGTCCTTGACCAGGTTCGAGCAAATTGCGATCACGGAAAGACAACGACGGATGATCCACCATGTTCGTTATCGTTTTTTTATCGCTTTATCTCAGCATGTTCACTTTCACGAGAATAAAAATTGAGATAAAAAATCAAAATCATGCACATTCGGAAGAATACATGATGTAGAGGAAGAACATCAAGGAGCTACAACCGCAAGAATGGCACCTTTGGATATCGATATTATCAAAATTGTATAGAATCGCAAACTCAGAAGTCTTGTTTAGTTGTGCCACATTGTAAGAGAGGTTTGCATCAAATGATCTACTTACTCAGTAGGATGACAATATTGATCAAAATGAGGAACTAGAGTAAGTAATGAGATTGATACCAGGCAGTAAACTGTCACTACTTTTCGATTTCGAACAGAACGGCAGCTTCGACGTTCTCTTATTTGTAAGTTGTATTATTGTTGTACGGCTGCTCCTTTGAAGTATTACAGATCCATGAGACTCCAGGCAGTGACGTCCTCATGAGTTGCTACACCAACACCGAATCTGAAGCACAAGGACTCCAGGCTGTGCTGCACAGAGAAAGATCGACCGTTTTCAAACTCCACGTCACCTAATTACTCACTCTGTTCATGACCGAGTCCTATATTCCTCTAGTACCTACCACTACCTTCTCTTCTAGTGTTTGAATCGAATTGACTTGTAGGCCTACAGCCAAGACATGGTATTTGCTCCATCTTGTCAGAGCCTGTGCTCGACCGCAGAATGTGCTAAGTAGGCCTTGAAGGCAGCAAAACAAAACTTTTGAGTTTCAAAGAAACTGAGGATTTCATATGCGCGTTTTAGATCAAGATCAACAACGACAGCGTTTTGGAGAATCCTTTATTCTTGGAATGACAATCACGATGATGCATTCCTAATCCTATGTGTTGAACATCAACTTTGGTTCAAGACTAAGACGAAGACCCCCAAATTCACTATCATATTCGTAGCACACATAGAACTACACGGTGTCTGCAATAAAGACCTTCCAACAGGAGCAACTTCATGATTGGTTTTAGATAGTAGATCACTTTCGCTATTTTTCAGTTTGTTACTTACTTAGGTATTTCTATTTTATCAATATGTTCTACTTCTATCAATTTTTACTTTATCCACTAGTGAAGTGATTCTCTTCCCAGATGCCAAGTTGGCCTTGAACATAGAGGCCTTTGGAAACCGTCACGTTTTCAGGCAAAAACTCTAGATCCCCACTCCTAGAGGCTGGGACGACAACCCCAGATTTCTTGTCTGCTCCAATAGTAGCACCAGAAGCCGTGGTGCAGAGTTTGCCTTTCTTGCCAGTACACGAGGACTTTCTTTTTACAGGGTCGGCAGCGTTCTTGATAGTGCTTTTCTCTACATCCACTCCGAGGGTTTGCAACAGTGATAATCGCATTTTTTGAGTCTCCATTTCGACCCTGCGACTAACCTCAGCTTCAATGTAAGCGTCGATATCTTGTTCCTTAGATGAGGAGGAAGAAGTTCTCTTGTCTTGAACTTGACCATCTTCTTCTACACCTCCTTCGCCTGTATTCTTCAATGCTGCCTGTTGTTGCGCCCCGATCCACTGCTGCATGGCCTGAGTGTGCGTGCGTGTTTCCACCCGAAGAAGGAGCTTCCGCATGGCACTGTCAGGAAGATCATCCAATAAGCGACTGTGGAAATCCTTGAAGTTTGCTGCATCTTTAAACCATTCCGGAGTATGAAAGGAGCAGATGGAATTTTTAAGTATTTGTATTGCAATACCACAGTGCATGGGTATGGGGTAAGCAGTTCCGAGAACATCAAGGAGGTCGAGGTGGATATCCTAGAACAGATCCAGAACAAGTTCTAAAAATATTGATGTGCATGGCATACAGTAACAACAACGTTAAGTAAGTCAAATCAGCAAGAAGTAGATGTCAAAAATTGTCTATCTTGATCTTCAACATTGTTGTTCTTCATGTTGCAAGAAGCTGTTCATAACTCACGTACGAGATGTACAGGACTGCGCGTGACATACCCGAACTGTTCGGGAGCGCACGGTGCATCAGTCGGAGATCGAAAAATGTTGCAGCTCCTCGCTTCGATTCAAAGGCCAATCTTGGTGGCAAAAAAGAGTATTCGAGATGCTCCTTGCCTGGCGGCGCGTGTGAGCCCATTTTCGTTTTGTCCGCGCGAACGCCGTCTGCATCAGTAGCCATTCGTATATTTGATTTTGGTGGCTCGCCCTCGTCTTCATCGGAAAAGTTAGACATTTCTAAATTGCATGATCCGTTTGGTTATAACCTATTGCCTGCTGCTTTCCCCTTGAAAGAGGGGCAAAAATGCATGCTTACTTACTAGTATCTTTCTCTTTTGAATGAACTCTGGCACTGGCTCTTCTGCTCAATCAAGAAATATTGTGCTTGTCCTAGTCGCCTTAAAAAAGTCATTATCGTCTTTGTCAATATCTTCATCGTCCAGGTCCTTGCCCTCACCAAAGACATAGTAGTTGAATTTTGCTTGTTGTTGCAGCCAGAACTGACGCGACTTGATATTCACATGGGAGCCTGTGAGAAACTCGGTGGGGCCGTCGTCCAGGGTGAGGTCGCGCAGAGGTAAAACCATCACGACGGCGGAAGCAGGCAGTTGTTAGAGACCACCACAGTGAATCCATCTCGAGTACCATCTTGCGACCTTTTTCCACTTCACAATTATAGGCCCAGGATGCTTCTGAAGATGGATTAGGGTGAGCCGCCTTAAAGTTGTTTTCCGGCATATTCCCCACTCGCAAATACTTGGGTGCTGAACGGGGGATCCACATCAAGGTGCCAGTGCATCGAAGGCGTCTTTTGCTCACTCTGGACATAGGAAAACTCATCAATCTCGATCTTTGGACCCTTCAACACAGCAGTCAACAAAGCGAGAACCATTTTGTTCGCCACCAGGTTAGAGGCAGGTGGAGGAAAGTGTGACGTTGAAATAGAGGATGAACTATGGGACTCGGACTCGGAAAAAATCAGTACTCAAGTGTCGCTAAATCATTAACATCATGCAAAAAGAAAAATCTTTTTCACCCAGAAATACAGCTTCGAGATTCCGGATGTATAAGTAAAATTGCACAAGCATAATGCCATAACCAGTGCCGGACAGACAAACGGCTTTTCAAATGGCAGGCGCACCTCGTAGCGTCCCGCTGATCTTGGTGCAAATGCGGCCGATTCATATGAGCCTAGTTCTGTCGGTGCGCCATCTGCATCTCCATCAGATGCAGAGGAAGCGTCACTTTTTGAGGAGTCACCTGCTAAAGAGGATGAAGTCTTCTTTCCATTTTTGAGTTCAGCCCACTCTCCTCGAAATTGTTGCATCTGACTAAATTTTCCACGTTCAGCCTGTGTCATCTTTGCAAAGTGCTCTGCTTATTAGAAGAGGGCATCGCAATCAATCCAAGAAAAAGAATGACAATTTTTGATTTCTACTAACTTGGCTGCATTTTTGTCCAGTCCATTTCTTATTTCTTAGAACCTGGTCATCAAATACAACTCGACATGTACTTCTACATGCTTCCGTATCCGTTTCCACTGCAAGTTAGGAATCAACCAAATAGGAGGTATACGCATACGCATGATGTGAGTAAGTACCTTGACACAACTTAGTACGCGTATTTGAGAAGTCTTAATTTTGAGCAGCATGGACACTTTTGATGAAGTCGGGGTCAAAAGCGTCTGGGATGTTGACGACACCGCACGTCTGGAAAATGATTATCATTTTTCGCAATCGCTGTGCGTTGACGAAGCCAAGTCGGACCTCTTGCTGCTCTCGCTTACTAAGAAAAGTTCCCGTTTCTGAGGATTCCGAGAAGGCCACCGATACATGCTCCTCGTGTTTGCACAGAAAACTGGAGGCCCCTACCAAACGGTGCTGCATGCCGTCAGCCGATCGGTTAAGAAATCTCATATCATTCAGCTGAGTGGTGGGAAGGAAGTGTCTCGCGTCTTCTCCTTGGACTGCCCACGCGATCGTCTGCCCTACTTGCTTTTGCGTGCATGCGACCCGTAATTTTGGCGTAGCTGCTAGCAGTTCTAGCTCATGAGTTTCACTGTTCTTATTAACGGTTTTCTTTGTCTGTCGCCGAGAGGTTCCTCCTCCTCCTTCGGCGACGATAAACCTGGAATCGAGTAGGCAGTCGTAGACCATGGGGAGTAGACTGCCTGCTTGTTCTCGCTCCTCTCTTACTGTAGCTGCGCCTGCATTTGCAGCTTCTGCGGTCCCCGTGTATTCAAGCGAGACTAGCTTAGAGTTTACTTCCTTAGACCCCTATCCATCCAGAGACGCATCTGGGTGGTCTTTTGGGACAGCTTCCAGATGCTTCGGCAGATGGATTAGGGGAAGACTTAACTAGCGAAGAGTTCGTCGCGGCTGCGACCTCAGCGAGTGCTGGGATTAGGTCCTTCAAAGTGTTGTGAGAGCGATCGTAGAGCCCGGTGCCGATCGTGTGCTTCGCGTCTTCTTCACGCATGTCCAGCAGATAAGCGACGTCCCACGCTGCTAATCCTTCTTGAAAGGACGAGATCGCGGTGCTGAGCTTGCGGAGAGTTTTCTGGCGGCGGGGACTAGTTGTGCTTGAAGAAGCTTCAGAACCTTCCTCAGTTCTAGTACTTCCCTCCTTGTACGAACCTGCCTTCTTACCTTCTCTATTTTTCCCAGTCTTCTTATCTTTCTTCCCTTTTTTCTTGCCGTTGCCTTCATCCATCTTGTCTGAAGATAAAAGCTGCATGAGCCGATCACGGTCAATAACAGGAATAAAATTGATGTTCTCGATTTTACTCGTCTGGTCTTCATCGTCTCCATCTCTCCTTCTGCCGGTATTAGCGCTCACCGTATCTATCGAACGAGATATAATCCATATACTGATGATACCATAACCATTACCATAGTAGATTTTTCTTCATCTTGCTGTTACAATTTTGTCCAGTTTGTCTCCTAAAAACTGAATTTGGTTATCTATTTAACTACCTAGAAAAAGAGAATGAAGGAACAGAAAGATTCGGAGTCAAAAGGTGGACTTTTATTTGAGTCTGTTATGGCGCCATAAGCTTGTCCGATTTCTTGCTCTTCTTGGACCCCTTTTTCCTTCTTGCTTTTTCCATCTGTTCGCTCGTCTGCAGTAGGGATAGCGATTGGAGGGCCGAAATAGCGGTAGCGATGTGAGCAGCGGCGTAAACGTTCCAAAGATCGAAACGGAACGGCTCTGCCCGAACGGCCTGTCGATAGACATCAATAGCGCTTTCATAGTCTCCATTCTTCGCAAAGACTTGCCCTTCCTTGACCCAAGGGATCTCTATATTTATGCTCTTTTCATCATCTTTTTCTTCTTCATCCTCATCAACAACATTAGAACAAGTTGTACTGTCTTCTTATGTATCGCATTTTTTTGTTTAGAACGTATCCCGACCACCATTTATGATGTTCCCTGGACCACTCTTTTTCTTGTTGGAAAAGTGAGGGCAAGAAACGAAAAATTCTGTTGAGGGTCTTCGATCCCTCCTCGTCCTGCTAGTAGCTAGGTATTCGTATTAGTATATTTTTAGCCTTAACAATAGTACTAAGCCTAATACCGGTCCCGGACGGATAAGTAGTTGTACTTGTACCAGAGGGGAGTTCTTCATATTTGGCACGGACCCTTTGAACGCTCGTAGGCTCATGCCAGCCATCCCAGTTCATGGAGCGAGAAAAACACAACTGCTCCAGTGCAGCAAGGTCATTTTCTCCACCTGCAGTATCATCAACGGGAGACGAGGAACAGTGCTGGACAACCTGCGCGAAAAATAATCCAAGCGGCAACACAACCGAACGCTGCCGAAGGGCGCGGCGGCTGAAGGGCGCAGCAGATGAGGTGCTGCGGCGACGAGACGTCGGCGGTGGTTGCAAGGCAACAAGACGTCTCATCTTTGCGACAAAATCTTAACAAGAGGAAAGGGATGTGAGCGCTTCAATTTGACTTCAAGTGAACGCGTCCCACGTAGTGCAGATGAAGTAAAGTTCGTATGATGTCGTAAAAAATGATTACAACCATTGCATACACGCGCAACCTCCTCGCTCGCGCATCATCTCCACTCTTATTCTTAAACGATAAACAATGTCATGACCGAGCATGATAACTGTGCAAGAAATTCTTTGATCTTCGTCTTCGACTACGGGAAGATGAAGACCACCCAAACATTTTGGTAGAGCTAATTCTTGATCAGTAATTATGCTTTTCCCAAGATTATCCTGTACACAGCATAGAGTTCTTTTGTGAAAAAACATAAACGACAATTTTCTTTGCATCACGCGGTCGCTGTACAAAATATACACCAAGAAATAAGACGATCTCTATATCAAAATCAACTAGCACTATAAGAAATTACATCGATATTCGCATATAAGTTTATCTCCCAAACTGGAAAATGGAAATGAACAGCGACAACAGTTCCATAGAAAAACCTACTGTAGTCCTGTGCATTGACTCTTCCTCTTGTTAGCACAGTGACATTATAGTGCTCCTTTTATCGCAATTGAACTCCACCCCCTGGAGTAAAAGCTGATTTGTCCATCCTTATCTTCTCCAGTTCCGCTTGAGCTGCAGCTGCATCGCGAAGCTTCTTCTGTACTGCTCTGGCATAGGCTTCTGCTTCCTCAGCTACCCTTTTGCGCTCAGCTATTTCTTCTGCCGTTTCCCCTTGCGGTAACGAAGCACCACGGACCGGAGCCGCCAAAGCGTTGTCTTTCGTTAGAGGATCAGTCGTAGAACAAAAAGTCTAGAAGATTCGTGCAAGTATGTTCTGTGTCAACATTGGGATTATGTTCATGTTGTATTTGTGACTAATGAATATACCTAGTAAGCCTAGTAAACGTCTTTCACAACTAGAACTACTGATGTTTAAAAAATGTATGTGTGATCAGCGGCCTTAAAACCAATGCCTGTACGCGCCGAACAGTTGCCTGACTCGAAAACAATGCTTTGCAGACCTGCTGAGGTGATAATACGGCATCCAATTGGTATCGGAGTGCGAAAGCGACACGCGCGAGCATGCCGTTGCACGTGCGGCTGTCCCAGTCTGGTTTTCCAAAATCTTAGAAGTAGAACGAGATCATGTTCTATACTCGAGGCACTGACAGTAGTATCTTAGTACTTAATTTTCGTCGTTGATGCTGATACACACTCAACTCTGTCACTAACAAGAAGAACTAAGTACTTAATTTTGATTTTCCTCAATGATGTTGATTTTGAACTTGATGTTAATAGATACATTGAGGATAATGACCGGAGCATAAGCGAAGGTTCGTACGGATGCTTTCCACCGGCACCACGAGCGCGTTTTTTCGGCGATTTGGGCACCGGTAAAAGGACCACCCGTCGGACCGAAGATCTCACTCGTTTGGTCGCTGCAGTACTCGTAGAGATCTCCAGCTACTTCTGCGCCTGAGACAGCGTCGATCACGTAGCTTTTGGTTGGCGATGCGACGCCCACAGGTGAGGCACATGGTGGGCTCGCTACATATGAGGGAATCTTGCCTTCTCTCCACCACACTCCCCTCTTCTGGACCTTCTGGTTGTTTTGAACTTCGCTACTATGCTGTACTACTGAGTGAGAGGTGGATGATAGAGACAGTGAAGCGTCGGAGGTCCTCGGAAAATGCAGCGACTTGGCCGAGTTCGACGTAGAAGCGGTTGTACTTGTGTCGTTGCTCAACAGAAGAGTAGACGTTTCCGCGAGTCGTTGAAGCGAGGCCAGCATCAAAGTTCCATCAGGCGTCTTGGGCAACGCCTCCGGGATGAGACGCAAATGAACGTCGGCACTTCTTGCCGTGCCCAGAAAGGATCCTAAAGCGGAACAAACGTCGGCTGTGGCGCCGATCGCTGGAGACTTTGCCTGCGCTGACAGGGCCATGGTGAGGACATCCACGTAACTGTCAGCACACGAAGGCGCCTCTGTAGGTGCGACGCGCTTTCCACACCAAGTGAGGAAAGAATATTAGAGGATCGACGAGGACGATGGAGAAAGAGAACTCCTGCAACAGACCTTGTAGTGCTGCTAAACAACAAGGAACAAGAGAGTACTAGACTCATTCTACCTAACGAAAGCTCCTCAGTTGTAGCCCATCCTTGTGTCGATTTCCTACCATAATTCGCATGTGCCTGCTTCAATCTGACGCCTCCTGTGTGTGGATCGTTTTGCAGGCCGCCTGCCTCTATATCTACTAGCTGCGCACAATTTTCAGCAAAAACTGCCGCTGCGCCACTCACAGGATGACCCTGTCCCGGATTGCATCCCAACCCCTGACAAAACTCGCGTTTATCAGGCGCATCGAACGCTGGTGGGATCGCAGCCGTCGCCGGCTCGCCTGGGTCGGGGACCGGCTTGGGAGGTGGTGGCGTACGGTACTGGCAGGCCCCGCCTCGACAATACTGACCCTCAAAAGGCGCCGGCGTCAACGCTTCGGTCGAGGTCCCATCAGGTTTCTCTGCCACGTCCTGGTTCAGATAGCTGGCATCTTCCGTATAGACCAAAGGCGGTTCTTCGGGATTGGCTCTTGCTTTCGTGCCACGCTTTTTGAGGGCTGTCCTGCTGCGCGAGGAAGAGGTTGAAGTAGAAGATGTGGAGGAAGAAGCCCTCCTACTGAAGATCCTTGCAGCACGACGGTTCTGATCAAGCAACGACGTCGATATTTGAGTGCCAAAAGCAGAAAGGGCAGCTGAGGACGACGACGACGTGACGGATACGGAAAGACCATAAGATCCCACCAAGTGCAACAAGGCAAGGAGAAAGGCCACAGGACAGGTAAAATTATGGCACAGCAAAGCACGCACCATTTTCGGTCTCTAGAGAATGCCAGACGCGGAGATCCATCCAGACTACCCGTCTTTGGTTTCTACAACTACTACTTTTTCTGAAGCAGAGATGTTGTGACAGTCTCTCGACAGTAAATTTTCTCACTCTTGTTTACCGGACTTCCACGACTAGCCACTTCTTTGGTTATTTGAGTGCGATGGCGTCACCGATTGACCATTCTGGTTGAGGGCTTTAAGACATTGCAGAACATAGCCATGATCCCAGGAAGCCACGACCTTTCATCACAGGTAGTACACGGTTGGCTCTATTGTTGGCTTTATTATTATGATGTTTCGATGCGCGCTTGCGTGAACAAGTTTAAGTATTTGTGTAAGTGGAAGGGGAATACAGCCCAAAGAAACATCCTCCAAAAAGGTGGACTGTGTTATCGTTCATTAGATCATTTGTTCTGGGAGTACTATGTTTAAGGCTCAGCTTTCAATGGTCACGGGGGTTGGTCACTGAGATCGAAGAGGCGACCCCTTGAGAGAACAGGGGAAAACGAAGGGAAAGGGGAGAGCTTTGAAGGGGGTCCCTTCCGTTCAGAGTCAGTGACCATTGAAGGCTGAGCTTTAATAAATATGTCTAACTTCTAAGACCGAGGAATTCCGCTGTGTCCTCAAAGTCTATTGCTATTGCAGCTCTTCTTCTTCTTGATAGTCATAGTTTTCGTCTTCTGAGGAATCGCTTTCAAACTCGAAATTCATCGGAGAACTGTCTCTGCGTTGCCGTTTACCACTATCCTCAGCGGCAGCTCTGCCACGTGTCGCGACCGGAGAATTTGCTCCAGTTCCCTGCCTTGCTGACGTGTCGTTTGCTCCTCCACCTCCTCTTGTTGGCATCCTAGCAGAGCTTGAAGTATAGACGTCTGATACAACAACAGGCGCTGCGCCGAAAGGGCTGCAAGACGCTCCACCCATGAGTGTATTTGATCAAGCCGAGGAAGTGGTATTAACAGGTTGACCATCGCCATTATTTGAGTACGTCCTACCACCCAATATCATCCCGTTAGCGGTGGAGCGAGCAGTTGTATTGCTTCCTTGTGCCTGCAGCGGAATCTGCAATGGTGCCCCCGTTGAAGATGAAAAGCCCAACGATGTTGATGTTGTATCACCACGAAGCGGCTGTAATCTTGAGCTGGTGCTTGCGCTACTAGCAGTTGCTGCATTTCTTGAACTTGATGAAGGAGTAGCCATCGATCCACCACCATTTCCAGGCAAGTTTGGGGGTGCACCACCTCCATTGTTCACGTCTGGAATCGCACCAGCCCTTGCTGCCATTCCTTGAGCTACCATCGCACGACTCATTATGCGAAAAGACCCAATGTCGATACAGCATTGGCACTTGTTGCGTCCTAGGGCGTCGAAGCCGTGTTCCATTTCGTCATCCCCAGCAGTCTCGCTGCAGAACAAGCCTTCATCACTCGCAAGGCCACCGCTGCGGACGGCTCCGCGCGTGATTTTCGACTTCGGACGAAATTTCATCTTCTATTATTCTTGTCTTTGTCTACTAGGGAGAAGATTGTGTTGATAACATAATAAGGTATATGGCAACAAGACTGGTGGCGCAAGAGATCGATGTTATACCCATCAAGTTGTTAAACAAGGAAGGAGGTCAACAAGTCATTTCCGAAAAGTCAAGGACGAAGAAAAACTCTATGCCTGATGGAGGAAAAAATGTGTCATGATGGAGTCTAATTATTGTTATTTCATTTTTCGTCGGGCATGAACGTGGGATGCGTAGGTAGCCTATCCATGCATGCAAAAAATCTCAAGAAGCGGAGGAACAGAGGCATTGTCGATCTAATATTTAAACCGCATAGTGGGGACGAGGACGTGGTCAAGGACTGAACTGTAAGACTAAGACCTGTTCTTGATGTTGATAAGATATTAGAACAAGGCCAAAAATCTTCTATTCTTCGGCGGTAGATTTATGCTAATTCGTATTCGAAATTCAGACATGATTTACAACGACCGAAACCTCTCCATCAGGACCTCTCGGACGAAATGGAACACAACAGACACAACTCGTACTTACCTCATGCATTTGCTGAAGTAGCGATATGGAGGTACTATTACACTTACAGCACCTGCACCTTGTACATATTTTTGGCAGAATGTTGTAGAAATACGATTGACAATGTCTTTGCTTGATGATGCGGGGGCGCACATCTCCTTTGAGGCTGCCTTACCTTCTAGCTTTTACCTGTCACTCTAGGTGGCTCTGCTGTATGAGGCATTGTTCAAGCTCATATTTGAAGCATCAAGCACTAGAAACTAGTACTCGTTTGCTAGTGGAAGCTAGCTTTCTGTCTTTCGTTCATTGCGGTGCGAGCTTGCGCGAACGTGGCTTCAACTTCAATCGCATGTTGCACATATCGACCGGTAAGTTGTTCAAAGCCCTTACCGGTTTACTTACTTTCCGGCACCACCGACTTCCAAGCTTCCGGCTTCTGCTTCACAAGCGTGACTACGAGCTTGACCTTGTCGACGATGCTCCACGTGCATTCCTCAGTGTCGACAGTGCCGAAAAGCGATGCTGTTTTGCTCAACGCCTCCGCACCAAACAGCTGTTTTCCGTCATAGCTGACGGTGAGTGTGCTTTTCTTGAACGCTACCTTGACCTTCTTTTTGTCGAGAGCACTGGCTCCTTTTGCGGCTTCCTCTTCTGTTTGCTCTGCTGCAGTTGGTTCAGTTGCTTCATCCTTGTTGACGTAGAAAGTCACTTCGACATCGTCGGTGGAATCCCGCCAGAAGTAACCGTGCTCTCTGGTAACTCTGTCTCCATTCGTGAGTGCGGGAGTATTTCCGTTGACCATCGCTGGATTATTCGTCATCATGTTCTTGAAGTCATTGACCTCGCCTTGTGACTTCTTGTTCTTTACCTGCTCCTTCGCTTGGGCGACCCACGACGCGGTGGAACTGAAAGTGATTGTGATTTATTCGCTATCGGGAAAGATTCAGATTGACATTAAAATAATCAATATTTGAACTAATGTAGTTGCAGATACAATTACGGAGACCAGTAGTTTGTTGTCAGTATATTGATTATCTTGTTTAGATTTTCTATAGGGAAACATTTACCTTAAATCCGCCAGCGGGAAGTCGATTCTGCGCCAGATGTCCTTGGCTTCACTGTCCTCCACTCTCGCGACGTAGGCGTCGCCACGAAATTCCTGGTTTGCGTAGCCGATTTCGCGTGCAAAGAACGATGCGCGCTCGTTAAACGGCAAGTTTTTTGCGACACCCTTGTCGTCCACGTAGACCGAGACGCCCTTGTTCCCGACCTTATCCAAAGGTAGAAGCAATGGAAAAATGTCGATCGTAGCCATCTTCATGATTTGGGCCATCATATCATCGGTCAAATTCTTCACGGCCTCCTTGTCCTTGGCGTGGTGCGCAAGACCCGCCTTGAGGATGTCCGGGTTGCACTCGCCATTGTCAGTGAACTCTTTTTTCAGTTTCTCGATGAAGCTGTCGTTCTGCAACTCCGCCACGCCCGTATGAATGCACTCCTCGATTGGCTTACTGCTGTCCGCTGGGATGCGGACGTAGCGGAAAGATGAACCCGTCTTCGAAGTGAAAGTTTCAACAACAGAGACAGCGGACTCCTCGACGCTGATAGGAGCCGCGCTGGCATCGATTGTCGTTGTCGCGGCCGTCATGTTTCTATTTTGCTCGAAGTGATAACTCTAACAAGAATGTGGGTCGTTTCGATCGTCCGTTGAACTAAGAGAAAAGGTGGTTGTTTGTCGTTTGGAAAAGAAAAACTATGAAATACAAGTTTTTGTTCGAATTGAATCACGTCTCCGCTGCTTGCCGTTGTACTCTGTGAAAGAAAATAGAATGAGAATCATTGATTTAGATTTTGCTTTGATGACCACCACCACACGAGAAAGAAAGCCAGCGGGCACCTCTCAAACAAGAAACATAAAGAGAAGTAGATCGTCCTTTTGTGGTAGTAGTAGAATGAGAAACAGTATTTCTGATCCATGATGATCGCATACCTTGATCCTGATGACCTGTTAACGATATTAAGATCCTCTTGTGCATCTCTTCATTGGAATCATACCTGTGTTGATCTTGCTCATTTTCAGAGATCACAACTGCTGTGCGCTTTTTTTTAGAACGACATCACAGCTCTTCATCTCAACATCAGGGGTAGAAAGAAGTAGAAGCTCAATTATACAACTAGATCTTTTTTTTCTGATGCTCCTGGTTCGCCTTCCTGTGTGGTTCATTTGAGATAATGAAATACATCAATACGAATCTGATTGATCATGATGATGACATCAAAAATACACAGAGTAGATGACAAAACTACGGCGCATAATATTTGCCTTGATGTTGATCCCTTGGGATAGTTAGTCAATAATACGCATTTTGGAAACAAGATCAAACAATAACAATGTATATATAATTTGGAGTTGGACTTGGATGGATGTTCTGGATGCTATTTAAGTAGGTAAGTAGATTCTACAAATTTAATTTCGATAAGGTATCGCGAAAATTTCAGGCGTTCCTATGCACATAATCTTGAACTATTGTTCTTTCAGGGGATTGGTTTCTATATAATCGTCTTATCGTCTGCTTGATTCATTCTCTATCTAGATCTACTGTATCTACTCCTGATGTGTCGTGACTTGATCTTCTGGTGTATTCTCCAACGACCCCTAGGAATGAAGCGACCCCTTTAGGATAGATATAATTTTTTCTGACCACTCACACCCTCCTAGATCTTCTCACCCTCACGGATGATAAATCTGTCGTTGCACGTACCTGCCAGCGTTTTCGAGGTGTTCTGGACCCACTATGCCCGCCTCCGTTTTCACTAGAGGATTTGGCTGTACCCGCATAGATGGTGGATCCTTAAGTGAAATCGGGAAGAAATTGCCCGTCACTTTCTGACCTTGTGGCGTTTTCAGACAGGTTGAGTGAAAGATTACGCGATCAAAACTGGTTTCGGGAACGCGATTGCGATTACGTTCCATGCGTTTCCCCTGATACTCACCTAGCGGAACCTTCTTAAGAAGGGAAACGTCCTCCGTGGCAGCGGCGCGGGGATTAGACAATTTATTACAAAAACAAATGAGGTTCTGCTTGAGACTGGCCATCCCCCGAAATCAAATTAATATCAAACTTAATAATCCCAAAGCTACAGAAGTCGGAATAGATTTGATCAATACAATAACTCAGTTGAGATGAGAAGGTCGTGGTCTACAGAAAAAACTAGTTATGGCAAAAATCAGAGGCCATAATTCTAGTTCGCGCGAGTGCTGTCTTGTTTGCCGCTGTTATATGCTCCTCAAGGTCTGGGCGATAAGTTCGATCATATTGTTGCAGGTTATAGCCCCCAAAGCGCAAAGAGTTCCATCGCCCTTGCAGTCCACTATCTTCGAGGCGACCTGCTTGCAGAGAGAATTAGAAGACAAAAGTATTTGATGTGGAAATTGCGTGTCGTGTTTAATATTTCCGCGTGTCCTTCTCCTTGTTCTCAGACTCAGTCTTGTAATAATTTGTGGTCTACTGCAAGAACTATAGAAGTGATGAAGACTACAGCAAGTTCAAAACTGGAAGTCGAACTCTGAAGAATAATATTCATATTGCGAAAAGAGAAAGGATTATCTCTATAGAAGTCATGATCCATAATTATAGTGCATTCTTGAAAAAGGTGGATGCAGTTCGTTCGAGACATGTTGGCCTTCTGTCGATTGCACGAGCACAGGAACAGAGGCGCTTCGAACTGCTGTTGGAGCACTGGCATTCCAGTGTTGTCGTGTTGGCTTCGGGAACGCTGCACCGATTCCGAAGTACCTCGGATCGGAGGAAAAGGGGTTTAAGGGAGCTGTTGACATCTTTGTTCTAGGAGTAGGAGTAGGTAGTACAACAACAATTATCACTCTCAGGTAAGAATAGTACGCATATTTTCACGAGCTTGCTTTACTCCCGAATTGTCTGAAGATTCATCTTTATTTTGATTGAATCACGTTATTACTGATATGGTCGAACTAGAAAATGATAAAAATTTCTCGTGTCCATCTTTTTGTTTTCTACGAAAACATATCGTACATAAAAAATATCGCAGAGAGTCAGGCTTTGGGCAGGGGGACGGGGATGATCTTCTCGAAGGATCCGGGAGACGGAGAATCGAATACATGGACAGAATGCAACATTTAAGGTTGCTGCAGTGCCCGCTATTTACAGTAAAGAGTTAGCTGGATGTTTACCGATGACGAGGTGGAACTCCGATGACTGGCCCGGCTTGAGCAAAGCCAAAGGGAGGGCTTTAGACAGACAAGGCATCGACCGAAACAGAATTCTACGATGTACACAATACCATAAAAAACCTCGCACAAAGTATCTACTTACTGTGCGGAGTGTCGAGTAAGCCTCTCGTCTTCGGCCCCGTGGTAGTTACTCGCAAAAGTGAAGAGGATTATCGTCGAAAAGAACACGTATTTCTCTACAATTTCAAAGTTATAGTACTAAGCTATTCCCACTGATGCTCACCGTGCTAGGTGGAGCATGGGTGTCAATGGCATCAGCGTATTCTCATCGAAGACGGAGAGTCATTATTGACTTTTCCAGTGTAATATTCATACGTTTTTCATCCTATTAAGGTGTCTTCTAAATTTTATGATGTCTCTTTTCAGTGATCAGGAGGATACTAATACTATACATTTGAGGGTATTGTCAATTAGTTGATGTGGTCGAGGGCGCGTCAAGCCCGACGATGCTTGCATAATCATTCCGTGAACTTTTTATTTGCAACAGATACGTGTGGTCATTCCTTGTTTGACATGATTAAATAATGATAATGAATACAGCGATAACTTTAAATTTCATGCACTTATTCGCTGCGACACGTAGCTACCAGCCGAAGCGATATTATTCATTGGAGGACTTTCATATTCATAAATCTAGTGGTACAAGGAGAACAATGACTCAACCCAATTCTTCTTACAGGTCAATATCAGCCTCATTAGATATTAGGGATATCTCGTCTTGAAGATACAATTTTCTACCTATGATCTTATATGAGAAGATAGACAAAGGAGCAGAAGCATTCATCGAGCAGGCTCGGTACAAGCACCGCCGACATACACTTCGGCGCCGGTCTGCCAATACCGAGCTAGGGTCCTCGGTCATAAACTTTTCACGTCACAGATTATGAGTACAACATGAACCTGCACATGAAATTATATGAGTAAATGGCAATGCATCATGAGATTATATTATAACCAGCCTTCGCCTGTCGTTTCGAGATGAATGTCTTTCCTAGAAAGTACATATTTGATTTCATAACCAAAACCAGCACTACGCCATTTGTTACTCCTGACTTTTCAACAACTTTAGTCATAATATTTTGTACAATTTTCAACATTTCTTTGATTATGAAAGTACGTCAGCTACACTACAGGCTTTCTCCGTTTTTATGAAGGTGAGAAGCTTTCTGCCTCTGAGTCCTAAGATTACGAGTGTAATGGAAATGGTTGTTGAAAATATTCGAAAAACTGAAATAAGCGAGTAACAGACGAGAATAACCGAGACACTGCCGAGAAGGACGAGTAGCCTTGCTGTTAAGCTACGCCCCTTATTTCAGTCAGTAACTCGGTTATTTTCAGTTTTCGAGTAGATGAAAAGCCGTCCTCCGTGCTTCATAATGCCATTCCTACAAAGGAGTCATGCACCAACTTGAGTAAGACCAGCAAATCGATATCCACCACAGCGGCAAAGTCAAAGATACGAGACACCTTCCATATTCAATCGCATGCACGAACGTCTTTTTTAGCAAATGTACCCATCTGGATATGCTGGAGGAGGAGTGTGGCGTTTATTTTTCATATTCATTTTTGTTGTCCAAGTATTGAGCAACCACAACATATTCAATTGATATTCTCACTTTCTTGAAATCATCAACAACAACATCATGGTAGTCAAGAACAAGATTCTTACTTAAAAACAACGAGGACTACAATAATATACTTGATCGTCATTAACATTACCAGCATCGCATCTTTCCAGGTCGTAATGCTGTGCAGTGGAGTCGTATTTCGAAAAACCTGTAGTATGAGTCAGTAACACGCGAGACTCGCGGCGGGAGCGTCGCCGACACCATCCAAAAGCCAGACCGGCAATAAACGCAACGGTGCAAATCTGCGCGACGGCCATAGTATCGAAGTGCATGGTGGAGAGAGCCACCCGTGAAACGGATGTCGTTGCCGTCATGGAGGTCTCCGCGCTGGAATATTGATGAGAATTCGACTTCGAGGAATGGACATACTGGAAATCGAAATTGCTGAGTTGCTAGCACCAAAAAAGTGAGCCCATGTTGACATTGCAGATCTACTTCCTATCTTAAAGTGGTTTTGCTTTTGGTCGTTGAGAGGATAAACCAGAATCAAAATTGTTGGATATCAATCATGAACAACACAGTTTACTTTAGACTTTAGAGATGGAGTAGGAGAATAAATAATACAAGGAAGCTGCTCTCGACGCTACAGGTACAGGGTGTTCCTCGTTCGCGATATCATCAAGCCTTTCCCCATTTATGATGATTCGCGTGACGCTTCTGTTTACGATCTCGGTGATCTCTCGCAGGGTGAGAGGAGCATTCGTTTTTTGACTTTTGAGAGCCTCTTCATATTTCTTAGCAAGGTCCCACTTCACGAGCCCCTCTACATCTTCCCTTTCCTTATCAGTTATATCTAGACCATGTAATCGCTCTGCTTCTAAGAAAAATTTGTCCTCTATCGTGGCGATAACATCGTCCATTTTGTTCTCGTTCGCGCCGTCGTCTCCTGAAAGTTTTTGATATTACCGGTGGAGGACGCCTATCTAGGAGACAAAAATACACAAAGAAGTATTGAAATCAGTCTTATTAAGCATTATAGTGGCCACGTTTATGTTAGGTTCCTTTTATTTTCGGCGCCGCTAGTTCGTCCAACTGCCCTGGCGGTCTTCTCTTCAAAGGCGGCCGAAGCCTGTGCGTGCCTCTGAGAAGTTCCCGGTTGCCGCGCTATGTGCACCCACTAGTTCGCTCCAGGGTGCCGGTTCATCAAACTAGCGCACAGCGCGAGAAGTAGGACTACCTATGCCCATAGTTTACCCCCAGCATTATTTCTAGCGCTAGGCCTAGCTTGTCCTCTATACCATCATTTTATCCGTTTGGTATTCTAATCCAGTAGTTTTATCTTTGAGTGTGCCAATGTTTTGGACGTTCAACTTTCGTTTTTGGTCCATTTGTTTCATCAGATCACGAGCATGACCTGCCACTCTGAAAACCACCTTTCCAATATGATAAGTAGCAGAATAACAAATTCACATACGGACTATAAACAGGAAAAACCAGTCTCATGGGTCTAGACATATTGGTGGCTGCGTCGTTCTTCTGTGGAGGGAAGAGAAAAAGAGACTGATCGCTTTCGTTCTACCAAAGAATTTTTCTCAATTGCGTTATATATAATTTCTTTATTTAGTTTTATACCAAAACCAAGCTCACGCAGCGCCTCCTTCAGCTCCTCCATAATAATGTTCTTCACGTCCTCTGCTTTGGCTGCCGCAGACCCTGCTTTTCCGGCGCCAGCTGTAAGTGCAGCTGGAACTGGAATGAAAATAGTCAAATGAAAAATGGTCTCAAGCACGTAGTTTGGTACCAGAAATTTCTAGAAAAAAAAAGGTAAATACGGAGTCGATAGATGTCGGTAGTGGAAGTAACTTTAAAGCCAAAGAGTGTAAGGCATTGATTTAGCGATCGTTCTTGTTGGGAATGTTGTGAAGCTTTCAGCTCTCTGCTGTTCCTAAGTGTTGTTTTTTTTGGAAAAGGCACGAAACCAGAAGAAGAGCTACTTTACATGACAAGGCTAATAGTATTTTCATCTTGATGACAAGGGAGAAGGGGAGAGGAAGGAAGAGATGTAGAGAGAATACAGCCGACTAGTAGTTTACAAGAAGAAAGGAGAGTACCCTAAGGGGTAGGAGAGGTCAGGGAACAGCCACTGAGCACCTCCTGCAGGCTGTTCTCCCGTCCCCCGGTTATGACTGTCCAGATCGTGACCGTTAAGGGGATCCCTTGTCCTGGACAAGGACAAGCTCACCGATGAAAAATACAGATAGCCTTTCTTCCTTTAACCGATACAACTAGAAGAAACATGAACCGATTTGGAGCAGGAGAGAAATACCGCGTGCGTCGAATTGCTGTCGAGTCGAAAGTGTCCCACAGTTGCAGGATTAAATAGAGAACTAGACAGACACAGGCTAACACATTCTACAGCAGCGTGTCTTACTAGCAGTACTTTAGCACCATCTTCAACGCTTAGAAGAAACAGGGCCTTAAGAATGTTTGGTCCTCGTGATCCGTAAAAATCCAGTATTATCTACCCCACTCCCTTTCATCAGAGGGTTGCGAGGCACTAGAACTCCTACACAACCTTGATGTTCACATAAGAACAAACGAAAGCCTTAACATTTCTCCAAAGCTCCTCCCTCATCTCTCACGTTGCGACGAACTTTCACAAAGTCAGTAAACATTCAAGAAGGAGGTTAAATATAGTAGTAGTGGAAGTAACTGACCTGCAAGAGCTATGAATCTTAATCTTCCCAAAGTATCCAAGCAATTCAAAAATCTCCCAACTTTTTCATTTCAAGCCGATTTAGGTTTGAGAAAAACTATGACATTCTCAAAAAACGATGAAAAAGTGTCTTTGACTACGTCCGTACCTTGGTTGTTGATTCCCGCGGCGCTTGCTGCATCTTGTGATTGTGATCCCTCTGCTTGCGCAAGCGAATTGGCTACGGTGCCGCCTGCCGAAGATGAAGTAGACGGATTGCATGCCGTGATGCAGTTGATCGCCATTGTGTGCTAATGCGAAGAAATGATGGAACCGAGATGATTGACTCGTTCACTTTTGATATATATGTTCCAGGGCGCGGGGCGACGGCCCCCCCCCTAGCGGGGGGGGGGGCGGGCGCCCTGGACCCCTTTTTAAGGCCTCTGTCGGGGGGGGAAGGCCTCAAAAGCCCCCCTCCCTGTCCCCTTCCAGGTGCTTGGGGTCCCCGAGAGGCCTCAGACGTAGGTGGAAGGCCTCAAGAGGGCCGCAAGGGGGGCCGCCTCCGCTTCCTCCTAGCTGCTTGGCTGTCCCGCAGAGGCCTCCGACGTAGGTGGAAGGCCTCAAGGGGGGCCAAGGGGCTCGCTGCCTCCTTCTCGTTTGCATGTACCC